CTCACACTGGGCCTGGCTACATTCTCACCAGCCATCATACCATCATATCTCCCACTCATACGTCGGGACGCACCCGGCCACGTACGGGGTCTGTCAACACGCCGGCTAATCCAAAGACGCGTGCGACCTCACACTGGGCCTGGCTACATTCTCACCAGCCATCGTACCATCATATCTCCCACTCATACGTCGGGACGCACCCGGCCACGTACGGGGTCTGTCAACACGCCGGCTAATCCAAAGACGCGTGCGACCTCACACTGGGCCTGGCTACATTCTCACCAGCCATCGTACCATCATATCTCCCACTCATACGTCGGGACGCACCCGGCCACGTACGGGGTCTGTCAACACGCCGGCTAATCCAAAGACGCGTGCGACCTCACACTGGGCCTGGCTACATTCTCACCAGCCATCATACCATCATATCTCCCACTCATACGTCGGGACGCACCCGGCCACGTACGGGGTCTGTCAACACGCCGGCTAATCCAAAGACGCGTGCGACCTCACACTGGGCCTGGCTACATTCTCACCAGCCATCGTACCATCATATCTCCCACTCATACGTCGGGACGCACCCGGCCACGTACGGGGTCTGTCAACACGCCGGCTAATCCAAAGACGCGTGCGACCTCACACTGGGCCTGGCTACATTCTCACCAGCCATCGTACCATCATATCTCCCACTCATACGTCGGGACGCACCCGGCCACGTACGGGGTCTGTCAACACGCCGGCTAATCCAAAGACGCGTGCGACCTCACACTGGGCCTGGCTACATTCTCACCAGCCATCATACCATCATATCTCCCACTCATACGTCGGGACGCACCCGGCCACGTACGGGGTCTGTCAACACGCCGGCTAATCCAAAGACGCGTGCGACCTCACACTGGGCCTGGCTACATTCTCACCAGCCATCGTACCATCATATCTCCCACTCATACGTCGGGACGCACCCGGCCACGTACGGGGTCTGTCAACACGCCGGCTAATCCAAAGACGCGTGCGACCTCACACTGGGCCTGGCTACATTCTCACCAGCCATCGTACCATCATATCTCCCACTCATACGTCGGGACGCACCCGGCCACGTACGGGGTCTGTCAACACGCCGGCTAATCCAAAGACGCGTGCGACCTCACACTGGGCCTGGCTACATTCTCACCAGCCATCGTACCATCATATCTCCCACTCATACGTCGGGACGCACCCGGCCACGTACGGGGTCTGTCAACACGCCGGCTAATCCAAAGACGCGTGCGACCTCACACTGGGCCTGGCTACATTCTCACCAGCCATCATACCATCATATCTCCCACTCATACGTCGGGACGCACCCGGCCACGTACTGGGGTCTGTCAACACGCCGGCTAATCCAAAGACGCGTGCGACCTCACACTGGGCCTGGCTACATTCTCACCAGCCATCATACCATCATATCTCCCACTCATACGTCGGGACGCACCCGGCCACGTACGGGGTCTGTCAACACGCCGGCTAATCCAAAGACGCGTGCGACCTCACACTGGGCCTGGCTACATTCTCACCAGCCATCGTACCATCATATCTCCCACTCATACGTCGGGACGCACCCGGCCACGTACGGGGTCTGTCAACACGCCGGCTAATCCAAAGACGCGTGCGACCTCACACTGGGCCTGGCTACATTCTCACCAGCCATCGTACCATCATATCTCCCACTCATACGTCGGGACGCACCCGGCCACGTACGGGGTCTGTCAACACGCCGGCTAATCCAAAGACGCGTGCGACCTCACACTGGGCCTGGCTACATTCTCACCAGCCATCATACCATCATATCTCCCACTCATACGTCGGGACGCACCCGGCCACGTACTGGGTCTGTCAACACGCCGGCTAATCCAAAGACGCGTGCGACCTCACACTGGGCCTGGCTACATTCTCACCAGCCATCATACCATCATATCTCCCACTCATACGTCGGGACGCACCCGGCCACGTACGGGGTCTGTCAACACGCCGGCTAATCCAAAGACGCGTGCGACCTCACACTGGGCCTGGCTACATTCTCACCAGCCATCATACCATCATATCTCCCACTCATACGTCGGGACGCACCCGGCCACGTACGGGGTCTGTCAACACGCCGGCTAATCCAAAGACGCGTGCGACCTCACACTATCACTTGGGCCTGGCTACATTCTCACCAGCCATCATACCATCACACATAATCACCATATGGGGGGTACGTGGAGTAGTGCGTATAGCACTGTAAACTAACATTCAATCTCCTTATATATCATTATACATCCACACAATCAATTAAATATATCATGTAATTTCTAATCATACAATAACATCCACCAATAAAATATTCCATAAACTCCCCCATTTAAATTCACCAATTTATCCTAAACCCACAATATCCATTTTACTCAACAACGCTCAAGACCTGTCACTAAGGTCATCCTAACCCTCAAGGAAAGGTAAGACTATCTCGGGAGTCTCACGGTCAACCTAGGGTCAAACGGGCCTGCGGGGCTCACAACCTCCAAATTCCGATTTGACAGTTCCTATAGGTTCTACAAGGTCTAGGACACACGTCCTGCAAGTTTGGTCCAGATCGGACGGTCGGATCGCTCACGATCGCACGATCGGACGGTTACTAAAACCCTAACCCCAGGGTTGGCATTTCCGGAGTATCCGGGACTCCGTTTTACGATCCGTCGAATCCTACACGATCTTGGTAATACCTAGATCAACATATTATAATCTCAGGACCATCCAACGGTCCAAACCCAGCGAACCCGGAAAATACGCGATATGCGATATCCGTTCGGGACTCTAACAATATCCAAATTGAAATCCGAGCACACCCACTCGCTCGTGACATCAAAAGGATCACATTGGGACAAAAATGCCCCTCAGCTACAGTGCCCACGCGCCGCCACACGCGCCGGCAGTGCGTGGGTGTCCAAAGCGATATCGCATCGCCGGAAAAACCACAGATCACGGCTCAAGACTCCTACCCTAGGTAAAACACCTAATTTGGAGTCACTTTTGTTCTTGGACGTACCCCAAAAACTGACCGGAAGTGGCCGGAATCTCATCCCGAAATCCGGCCGAACCCTAACTCGAAAATCAGATAATCTAGGCTCAAAATCGATACAATCCTACCCAACCATCAGCTAGATCATGCAGAAGGGATGAATTTCCATACCTTGATCGCCAAAAATGGCGGCCGGACGACGGAGAACGAAGCCGGCGAAGTTTCGGGCGAAACCGAGCTTTTCTCTTCGATTTTCCGGCGAAATCTCGACGGCTGACGGCGAGACCTGGCTGGGGTAGGAAGAGGACGGCGGCCCGGTCATTTTGGTACCGGCCCCGTCGACTTTGGTGGCCGGATGAGCGAACGGCCGGCCAAAACGTGGTCGGCCACGGTGGCTGTCGCGAACCAGAGGAGAGAGAGAGACGCGCGGGAGAGAGAGAGTGTGTGAGAGACGGGGGCAATTCCGTCTTTTAACCAAAAATCCCACTTCAAAATATTTACGATTATGCCACTGAGCTTCATTTGATCATATCTCTCTCGTTACAACTCCGATTCGAGCCCACTACGTGTCTACGGACTCATCTCACCGTGCTCTACGCAACGGTACAACCGGAATTCCCAAATTCCTTCCGAATAAGAAAATGACTAAAATACCCCTATCCCACGGGTAATTTCTCAATTCCACTTAAATAAATTAAAACATGGGATAAATTTGGGGTCGGGGTGTTACACAAACAATTAAACTAGGAAAGAATCCTTCTTTGACTTGGAAACATGTCAGTCAAATTGCACGCACATTTTGGGGTCCTTACACTTCCTAGAAAATTATGGCAAAATATGAGAAATGTAGCTTGATCTCTAAGATTTCCAAGCATATGTCACACGCTACTAGGAAAAATCAGAAAAAGCTTCAAATCTTCAATCTTCCACAGCAATGCAGTTCTGATGGGATTTCAACTTTGGCTGTCTTGACTTGCAAGTTTGGAGAATTTGGCTTAGTAGAAAATTATGAAACTTTGATACAATGATCTTCAATGTCTTAGCTTTCTTCTCCAATTGGCCTTGCGCTAAAATTCATTTGAAAAGTCAATTTTCGGTCGAAATTCTTCCAAAGGCGTTTAATAGCTAGGGGTGGGCATCTTAAACCGAAATACCGAAACCGTACCCTAACCACACCGTACCATACCGATTTCATACCGTTTCATTTGGTATGGGGAAATATTCCGTACCGTACCGTACCAATATAATATGGTATGGTAGCGGTATCAAGATTTTGGTACCGGTCAATACCATACCGTATCGAATGGTATAACTTTATGTTTTTATCATTTATGTTTGGATTGTGTTTGTATTTTTGTAAGCCATAAGACATAATTTTAACTATTTTGGTTTGTAAGTCATAAGGCATGTGTTTTAACCTTTTGGATTTGATGAATCTGTTGATGGATAAATATTGATTTGGTTGATTTGGATATTGAATATGTTGATTATTTGGATATTGAATATATTGATTAGGATTTGGATATTGAATATGTTGAATCTTTGAATTTGTAACTTAGGCATCACTTATTTTTGTGTTGAATATTGAATTGGTTCATTTTTTAGTTGTATCATTTTGGTACCGAAATGGTACCGATACCGATTTGGCACGGTACGATACGGTACCAATTTTGGCAAACCATAATCTCATACCGTACCATTCCGACTTAAATTTCCGGTATCGGTAGCAGTACGGGCTCAATGCCGTACCATACCGTACCGTGCCCACCCCTAATAATATCTGAAAATAAGGAAAGTAAAATAATAATACTCTATTTAATTAACTTTTCCTACAAAAACCAAATATAAGAAATATAGAAAATATAGAAAATAATGCACTTACTATATAGGTTCCAATTCATCATAAAAAATTCTAAAGTTTTTGTCTTTGCGTCACGCTGTCACCTTGCCGTCTCACAGCAAGATGTTGTACACGCATTTACAGAACGGATATTGTAGTACGCCTAACCACATCGGTGCTAGAAAATTAGCAATGACTATTACTGTACGGCTGCTTCTGTTTTCCTCACTGTTTCTGCTACCAGTTTCTGTGTTTGCTCAAGGTAGCATAGCAGTCGGTGCTTCTCTTACTGCAACGGCAGGCAACTCCTCACCATGGTTTTCTCCATCTGGTGATTTTGCCTTTGGATTTCTGCCATTTGGAAACAATGATCTTTTCCTGCTCTCAATATGGTATGCCAAAATACCAGACAGAACCATAGTTTGGTATGCAAATGGGGATAATAAGCCTGCGCTTGCACCTAAAGGATCAACTGTGAACTTGGCTAACAGTGGACTAGAGCTTACAAGTCCTCAGGGTGAAGAGCTATGGAAATCCGAAACCATTGTTGGTGTTGTTGCCAATGGGGTCATGAATAATACTGGCAACTTCGTTCTTCAAGATGGCAAATCAGGAAATTTATGGGAGACCTTCAACAATCCTACAGATACCTTGTTGCCTGGACAGAAAATTGAAAGAAATGGGAAGCTTTCAGCTCGATATTCGGAGACTGACTATTCAAAGGGACGGTTCCAGCTGCTTCTGCAAGAAGATGGGAATCTTGTGCTCAGCACCATAAACTTGCCAACAGAATTTGCCAACGAACCTTACTATGAAACCGACACTACCTCAGGGACTGTGGCAGGTAGTAAAGGTAAAGAATTGGTTTTCAATGTCTCAGGGTACTTGTATGTTCTGAGAGAGAATGGTGGAAAGTACAATCTTGCAGGGGAAGAGTTAGTCTCAGCAAGGGACAACTATATTAGAGCAACTCTCAACTTTGATGGGATTTTTGCTCAATATTATCACCCAAAGAATTTCACTGGAAATGTAAGCTGGACTCTTCTGTGGTCAGAGCCAGATGATATTTGCCGAAGAGTTACAGAAGATTCAGGTTTTGGTATTTGTGGGTACAACAGTATCTGCAAGCTCAACGCTGATAATAGGCCAACCTGTCAATGCCCAAGAGGATTCTCTTTACTTGATCCAAAGGAACCATTCGGGAGCTGCAAACCGGATTTCATACAAGGCTGTGAAGAAGATGAGCTTACTACCACAAAAGATCCATATGATGTAATCGTGATGACAAATATTGATTGGCCAATCTCAGATTATGCGGAGTTCAGACCTTTTACTGCAGAAAAGTGCAATGAATCTTGCTTTCAAGATTGTTTGTGTGCTGTTGCTGTTTTCAGGAATGAAACCTGCTGGAAAAAGAAATTACCTCTCTCAAATGGGAGAGTGGATGTCAGTCTTAATTCAAAGGCTTTCTTCAAAGTCAGAAAGGATAACACAACTCTACAATTTTCTCCAATGCCAAATCCAGATGATAAGAAGAAGAAGAGCAGTAACACTTTGATACCCGTGGAATCCGTAATTCTGGCTACCTCTATCTTTGTTAGTTTTATGTTTAGTGCTGTTGTTTGTCTGGGATTTTTCTTCGTTTTCCGGAAGAAACAAGTAAGGTCTATCAAAAATATTTTGGACTCAAATTTGTATTCTTTTAGTTACCGAGAGCTTCAAGAAGCTACAAATGGATTCACAGAAGAATTAGGAAGGGGTGCGTTTGGAGTTGTTTACAAAGGGACAATACAAATTGGTTCTGGTGTCCAAGTGGCAGTGAAGAAGCTAAACTGTGTGATACAAGATGGTGAGAAGGAATTCAAGACAGAACTGCGCGTAATTGGTAAGACACATCACAAGAATCTAGTTTGCCTGGTTGGGTATTGTGACGAAGGGCAACATCGATTGCTAGTATACGAGTACTTAAGCAATGGCACGTTAGCAAGCTTCCTTTTTGCTGATACAAAACCCAGTTGGACGCAGCGAATTGAAATTGCTTGTGGAGTTGCCAAAGGACTTTTGTACTTGCATGAAGAGTGCAGCACCCAAGTCATCCATTGTGATATAAAGCCTCAGAACATACTGCTTGACGATTATTACATTGCTCGGATCTCTGATTTTGGATTGGCAAAGCTTTTGATGATGAATCAGAGCCACACTCATACTGCCATTAGAGGAACAAAAGGGTATGTTGCCCCTGAGTGGTTCAGGAACATGCCAATCACTGCCAAAGTTGATGTGTATAGCTTTGGTGTTGTGCTGCTTGAAATCATTTGCTGTAGGAGAAGCGTTGATGTGGAAAACAGCTGTGAAGAGAGAGCAATTTTAACAGATTGGGTGTATGATTGCTACCGTGAAGGGATATTAGATGCTGTTCTTGATTATGAAGTTGAGGCATTGGATGATAGAAAGAAGCTTGTGATGATTGGTATTTGGTGTATTCAAGAAGACCCATCTCTTAGACCAACTATGAGGAAAGTTGTGCAGATGCTTGAAGGCGTGGTGGAAGTACATGTTCCTCCATGTCCATCTCCGTATACCAGAACAGCCTGAAACCTAAAAGGAATAACATGCAACCCACCAAAGTTACTTCTAATAGTATGTTATTAGATTACTGAGTTGTGAAGCTGCTGTCTTTATCTTTTCTATTATTAGACTAGATTAGTGCTTCAAGCATCCGTTGGTTTTCCACTATTGTTCGTGTATAAATACTCTACACTGTTATCAATGAAAAGCACACTTTCACACATTTCTATGTGGTATCACAGCCCATGACTTGCGGCAACTCTACTTCCAATTTCTCGATCCTACTCTAATTTTTTTTTCCTTCTCGGTTTCTGCTCCTTTGCTCTTTCTATTTCTTTTCTCCAAACAATTTCATCATCTCCTCAATCATCCCATGAATGATATGAACAAAGTTGAGAGATTTGTGATGGTTGCCATTTGGTGCATCCAAGAAGACCCTGCAGTGAGACCTACTATGAAGAAGGTTATATATGCTGATGCTTGAAGGAATAGTTCAAGTTTCAGTTCCCCCAAGTCCTTTCCCATTTAAAATCTCTCCAAATATCATCAAATGAGGGTCGACTTTCCCAACTTTTCTCTCTGCCCTCTCTCGTGCGTTTTGGTTTGCACCCTCTCTGTTTGAGAGTCTCCTCACCCTCTGGTGGTGATTTTGCTTGGGCTTTATGCTCATTTCTGGTGGTTCTTATCCACCCTTTCCTATAGCCAGTGTTGTTTTCCTCTTTTTTCCCCATCTCCTCTTCCTTTCCTTGTCCCAAAACTCAAATATTGGATCGCTCCCTGCTCGGCTTGAATTCACACAACCTCTTCCGCTCTACTGTGTCATCCTCTTCAGATCCATGGCTCCATGTTGGCATCTGTTGGAGCGTGATTTTGGAATCTCCTCAAAGCGCTTTTGTCGCTTATTGATCGCTGGAGGTTGTATACATCCTCCCAAGACATCTCTTCGAGTTCCTATGTTCTTTGTTCTTGGTGTTATCTTGATGGTGGAGTTGTTGGGTTCCTTCGGTGCTGGTGCAGACTGGCGGTTCTCCTTCCATGTGGCGGCGGTTAGGTTTTTTTTATGTTTGTTTGTTATTTTGCTGGGTCTAGTTTGTTTGTTTTGTTGGGCTTTTGTTTGTTCTGGCCTGGGCTTTTGCTACTTTTTTCATTTTGTTGGATCTTGTTTATTGTGTGTGGTTGGGCCTTTTGTTATGGGATTGTGTTTGTGATCCTATGTCATTGGACTATCTACCATAATTTCCTTATCTAATGAATTTCACGTCCCCGAAAAAAAAAAAAAAAAAAAAAAAAAAAAAAAATTTCCCATTTAGTTCCATTAGAAACTGAAAAAAGAAGAAAAAAAAAAAAAAAAAAAAAAAAAAAAAAAATTATTGTTAGTCAGGTTTCAAACTTTGAACATAAACAGATGTTATGATGCTATCAAGCCTTTGTGATAGATGATTCTCTGGTCAATGCCACAATAAAAATAATGTCCTGCCATATTCTTCATTAATTTCTATATTATCACACCTAACTTTTGATTTTTCGTGATGATATCCCAGTTTGTCAATGAAAATTCTTACGTAAGTTTTTATTTTTTATGTTTTGTGGTGCATGAAACTGCATACAGAAACATTCATATATCATTCAAAACCAAACCTGACAATGACACCATGGCCGGCTAGTTTATCAAACATCTTTGAATCTTTCTCGTCCACTCTGACATTCAGATAATTACTTTTCTTAGAAAAGATTTTATGTTCCCCCAGCTAGTATCCATAAAATGTGAGCTTATATATATAGTGGGAGTAAATTACTCAAATGGTCCTCAAACTTATACTTGATTTACATTTTGGTCCCTCAATTAAATTATTCATTCACAAAGCCTGAGTTTATGCTTGCTTCTTATTTCTTACAAGATTCAACTTTGAGCCTTGTGCCACACTTTTTTTTTGTCCCTGATTGCCCTAATCTTGTCACATCACGAATCAGCTCCTTCGTAGTACGATATTGTCCGCTTTAGGTCCCCTGCCCTCACAGTTTTGTTTTTGGGAACTCACAAGCAACTTCACAGTGAGTCACCCATCTTGGGATTGCTCTATCCCAAACTCGCTTAACTTCAGAGTTCCCATGACTCCGAAGTCAGTGAGCTCTCAAAAGACCTCATACTAGATGGAGGTGGGTATGTACGTATAAGGCACATCACCTCATCTCCGTTGGTCGATGTGGAATGTTACAAAATCTAATTCAAGCTTTTAAGAAAAAATTCCAAAATTCAATTTTGATTCGTTTAGTTTTGATCAAAGTGATTGTTATGCACATTTGATGGAGTGATCGTGCGTAAGAAAAACTAAAATAAAACTCAGTATTCATGCTCAACAATAGGTCAAGGGATTCTTTGATTTAAGAAACCAACTCATCTAACTCCTCATACATCATGGCTTTCTCCATCTGGTGATTTTGCCTCTGGATTTTGGCCACTTGAAAACAGTGATCTTTTCTTGCTTTCTATATATGGTATACCCTAAACCACATTGGTGGTCTCTCCATTTTGAAACATCCGAATTTGATCCTCAAACTACTTTCTTTTTTTTGGCCTAGTGATCCTCAAACTACATTAGGAAGTGGGTTTGTGAAATTGCCAAGGTAAAGTTTTGACAAATAATCCTATCCTATGAGGTCATATGCTAAGTCCCAAACTTTTAACGTGGGACAATACTCAATCATGACAGGTTGCTGCGTTTTTTTTTTCTCTTTTTCTTCAAAGAGCTTTGAAATAATAAACTCAAATTATCTAACCTAGACATAAGTTGATGCTTAGATGTTATGTTTCTATTTAGATCTAGTGATGAGTATAGACGACTTAACCTAGCCCTATATAAGCTTAAGGCCTTGCTCTCATTAGACACGATCTTTAACCCTAATCTCATCATAAAGAGATAACTGAAACAGATTCTGAAAGAGAGCAGAAGTCTTGAGTCATTCCTGTTCTTGCTGGGATTATTGCTGCTGCAGTTGAATGAGTTCAGAGGTCGTATACTCAAGAAAGATGGTGCCAAGTATGTCTTTACGTATTTCAGATTGTGTGAAAGATCATGAACACGCATATAAATAAATCTAACAGTTGTTATCAAAGCACATGGTTATTCCCACGCACTGAAATCGTTTTTCAAGCATGCCTATTACGATTTCTTATCTGTTTATGCTATGATGAGTTTTTGGTTATGTTTAAAATTTGAAGATGGATTAAACATGTTTTCTAAATTATCAAGAATATTAAAGAATTTGGAAAGGCATGTTTTAATTTGATTTTTCATATCTTCAAAACTTTAAACATGTTTTTTTACCTACCAGATGACCTGAAAACCCTAAAAATGCCCACATATCACAAAAAAAAATTGTGTTGAGTTAATTAGGTCATTCCCTATTCATAAAGGTATTTTGCGTCAAAAACGGACACTAAAAACCCCTAAAACACTGTTCAAGGCATAAGTTACTATTCACTACAATTTAGGGTTTTCTCTTTTGAACTGTGTTTGTTTGGTTATTTTCTGAGCTAGATAGGTGTTTGTCTTTATTCTAAGAATCAACAAATTTTTCATAACAAAACCAAACCTAAATACTCAAATCCTAAAAAAATAACCAAAAATTGCATCATACCTAAATTACTTGATAAGTTTCTTCAACAAATAGAATCTATCCTGTAATTTGTTTGTGATGGCACAAGATAACGCATAATTTTTGTAAGCTATAAGTAATCTCTTACCACAAAGGTGTGATACTTAATTAAGGAAGCTTATTGCATATGTTATTTGTTAGTTTTGTGAATAAAGTTAAACGGAAAAATTGTTTTCTCTTAACAAATTGAGAATCGGTTTCTTGGAAAGTAATTATGCTTTCTTTTGCAAATCCTTACAGCTTTGAACACTCCATCAATCAACTTCTCGCAAATTGAAAGATTCACTGGATTGAACTTCAAAATATGGAAGTTTGATTTTGAAGTTATTCTCGGAATGAATGAGATCGTTTATGATCTCACTCATGATTATATTTAATTCAACCTAGCCATTTAGCTTATATATCTTATAGTACAATTCCTAGAGCTTAGGGAAAAGGAAAAGCATCTGGCGGTTAATAGGAGCCACTCATATCAACTAATCATGAATGGAATTCTAGTAAAGAATATAGTTGAGCTAATTAAGAAGCGGAATGAAGATGAGATGGAGCGAAAAAAGGTTAAGGCGCAGTGACACCTTATGGAGGACCCATAAGGATATACATGGCTACAAAGGATCTCAAAAGTTTCAGGATCGCTGTAAAGCTCAATGTATGCGTTTATGGGAGAGGAGAAAACATCAATAAGCTACTTCGATACAAGAATCTCCTAGTGCAGTCTGTGAAACCTACACCCCAACTTGAATCACCTGTTGAGATTTTCAATTCCACCACTAATAGGGAGATAGTGGTACTTGACCCGTTCCCTACTAGGGATAACAACAGTTTCATGGCAGCACGTTGTGACAAGGAAGATTAGATAGCTACCTCTTGTTTTCATTAAATATTATTGGAGTAGTTGATTTTAAGTTGGATTCAGGATTTATTTTAGAGTTGGATGATGTAGTTTCAGTACCCTAAATAAAGAGAAATTTAATTCTATTTCAAGATTATTAAGACTTGGTTTTTTTTTGGATTTAATAAAGATGTTTTTGTATCTCAGAATTCAAAGACAATAAAGATGGATTATATTGTCTTAATTACAATAAAGATGGTGAAGTTTTAATAGCTGAATCGAGTGAGAAAAAGATTAGAAGTGAAGAAACATCCACTAGGTTATGGCATGGATGTTTAGGACACATTTCAAAAGAAAAAATGAAAATTCTTATTAAGGAACAAATCTTGCCGTTACTGACTTTTAGTGATGACGAAATTTATATTAAATGTGTTAAAGGAAAACTCACTAAGACTAAAAAGAAAGGTGCAACTCGCAGTAGTGATCTTTTAGAAATCATCCACACAGATATTTGTGGACCTTTCCCTCATCAAACAATTGATGGAAATCGTTATTTCATCACCTTTATAGATGACCATTCTTGTTTTGGTTATATATATCTCATAGCAGAAAAGTCTCAAGCTTTAAAATGTTCAAAAAATTTCAAACTAAAGTAGAAATGAAGCTTGAGAAAAATATCAAAATTGTGAGGTCAAACAGAGGGGGTGAATATTATGGACGTTTTGATGAAGGAGGACGACGAGCCGGACCTTTTGCTAGGTATCTACAACATAATGGAATAGTTGCTTAGTACACAATGCCAAGTTTTGATATGGCTTGAAGGATATGGTTCGTAGCATGATTTCTAAAATTGATTTGCCTAAGAGTCTATAAGGAGAACCGATCAAAACAGCAAACTACATACTTAATAGAGTGCCTAGCAAGTCCGTGCCTAAGACACCTTTCAAAATTTGGACTACTAGAAAGCCTAGCCTGTGACATCTTCATGTATAGGGTTGTAAGGCTGAAGCTAAGAATCTATAAACCTCAAGAGAGAAGCTTGATCCTAAAATGATTTGCTGTCATTTTAATGGTTATCCTGCAATGTCAAAGGGTTCTAGAGTCCAAATTATAGTACTAGTATTGTTGAGGATGGTTGTTCAGTATGAAGAACTACTTGATCAACAACAAAAAGAAGAACAAACTGCAGAAAACCCACAACAAGAAAATTCACCCGAACCAAATGCCATTAAGGAGATCTGATAGAACAAGAAGATCCACAACAATTTTGGATTATGTGTACTTACAAGAAGCAAATTTTGACATTTCAAATGAGGTTGATCCAACAAGTTTTAAAGAAGCTATGAAGAGTCAGAATGCAGATAAATGGAGGGAAGCAATGTTGAACGGACTCAAAAGCATGAAGAATAATCAAGTATGAGAATTAGTTGAACCTCACAAGAGCCAGAAATTGGTAGGCTCGAAATGGGTATTTAAAACAAAGAAGGATAAGGATGGAAGAATCAAAAGATTTAATGTTAGATTGGTAAAAAAAGGATTCACCCAAAGAGAGGGAATTGACTACACTGAGACATTTTCTCTAGTTTCCACCAAAAATTCTTTTCGCATCATTATGGCTTTGGGGGCGCATTATGACCTACTTTTATATCAAATGGATGTAAAAACTGCTTTCCTAAATGGTGAACTCAAAGAAGAAAATTTTATGAGGCAACATGAAAAGTTTGCAAAGGAAGGAAAAGAGCATATTGTTTGCAAACTTGACAAGTTAATTTATAGACTGAAGCAAGGAAGCATGAGGTGGTATTTCAAATTCCATCAAACTATTTCATCTTATGATTTTGAAGAGAACATAACCGATCAATGCATTTATCTGAAGAAATGTGGGAGCTGATTTATTTTTCTAGTGTTGTATGTCGACAATATACTTTTGGCTACAAATGACCACAATTGACTGAAAGACACTAAGGAGCTACTTCCAAACAATTTTGAGATGAAGGATTTGGGAGAAGCTGCTTTTGTGTTAGGCATTGAAATTCAAAGATACCGAGCTCGAGGTCTCCTAGGCATGTCACAGAAAACATACATTGAAAGGATACTTAAGCATTTTGACATGAGTATGTGTTCTTGACAGAAAGTTTCGTTAGCTAAAGGAGATTTAAAGAATGAGCATTGCCCTAAGAATAAAGAAGAAGAAGATGAGATGAGGACCAAGCCGTAAGCTTCTCTAGTTGGAAGCATTATGTACGCACAAGTGTGTACAAGGCCAGACATAGCCTTGTGCATTAGCAATATGGAAATATTTCAATCAAATTCAGGAATGCAACATTGGATAGCTAGAAAGAAGATTCTGAGGTACCTACAAAGAAAAAAGGCTTATATGTTGATTTACATACGCACAAAGAATTTAGAGCTTGTTGGTTATGCTAATGCGAATCTTGGAAAAGCAAAGGATGATTACATCTCTACTTCAGGTTTTCTTTTCAAGATAGCAGAAGCAGCTGTTGCTTGGAAGAGTGATAAACAATCTGGTGTTTCGAGTTTAACCATGTTTTCAGAATACATAGCTTACTATGAAGCCACTCCTTATGCAGTATGGCTAAGGAATTTTATTAAAGACATTAAGGTGGTGGACTCGATTTCTAGACCAATACAAATATTTAATGACAACATTGCGGCTGATTTTCACTGCATGAACAACAAAATGTCGTCTAGACTTCAACATATTGATAGATAGAAAATATTTAATAGTAAAGGAGAAGGTAGTAGACAAACTAGTCATGTTTGATCATATCAGAACTCAAGATATGATTGCATATCTGTTCACAAAATTTTTGCCTTCAGAAGCTTTTCTGAGACATGTTGAGAGCATGAGATTATTTCCTAGCTTTGATGTTGCAATCTAGTGGGAGTCTTGTTCCCATTCTGATATTTTACTAGTATGTTTATTTGCTATTTTCTAGATTGAGGGATTTGCATTTAAGGATGTTAATTTGGTTGACAATTTTATTTATTATTGAATAAATTCTACCATTTTAACAATTTAGTTGTTTACACTTATTATGCAATTTGTTTATGCAAGTGAGTTTATGGTCTCTTTTGAGATACTATTGTTTTAATAACATTGCGGATTGACTCTTGCTAAGTCGTAAAGGGGTACATGTATTGAAAAGCATAAAGATTCACATTACGGATCAGTACATATTAAGGTTTGCATTGGTAGGTGCTTCATGTTTTTTGAGATTGCATTATGTGATTATAGATGACCTAGTTTTAATAAAGAGAGTTGTGCTTGTCTATAGTTCGTTTTGTCTAAATGACTTAATTATTTTAAACTCATGACCAATAAAGATTATCAAAGCTCTAGTGCTTGATCTAGTGGAAGAATGTTATGTTTCCAATTTAGATCGGTGCACTAGATACTAAGTTATATCAGGTTTTGATAAGAGTTTAAATTAAGTTACCTTGAGGCCCAAAACCTTGTGGAATAAGGAAATGTTTTGAAGTCTATTAAAGGGGTCCTATTTATTTCCTTTTTGGGGTGAATTGTTTTGGTGGGCTTGGAAGATTAGTCAAGTCAGCCATCGGTGATGAGTAGAGATGACTTGACGTAGCCCTATATAAGCTTAAGGCTCTGCTCTCATCAGACATGTTCTCTAACCTAATCATAAAGAGATAGCTGAAATAGATTATGAGAGAGAGCAGAAGTCTTGAGCCGTTCTTGTTCTTGTTGGGATTGTTTCTGCGGCAATTGAATGAGTTCAGAGGTCGTGTACTGAAGAAAGATGGTGCTAGGTATGTCTTTACGTATTTCAGATTGTGTGAAAGATCATGAACATGCATATAAAGAAACCTAACATTGGAGTCAAAGAAAATTACCCTACATTATAAAACATTGAAAAAGACTTTGCACCCACAATCCAAAAACAAAAAGACAAAGCTCCAACGGGTAAATCATGGAAACCGGAACTTGGAAAGTAGCAGAATATTCATGATTCCGAACCTTAGACTTAGACGTAGCCCATCCTGTAACATGTGCACAACCTTACTTTGTTGACTTGGTGACTGCAATGTTGTGCACGGCAGAAGCAGATTGCATTAAATGGTGGATATGAAACCAACTCTCTTCTCTCTCTGGTTTCCTATGGTTTTGCCATACACAAGCACTCTTCTCATGCACTACTTGCCTGATTAAATAGCCAAAGAAGAGAAAGAATAATGCAAAGCATTATTCAATCACCAACGCACCAAGTATAATGTCGGCAGACATTATCTCTTATGCCTACCAGCACTAGCATGCATTAATTCCTAATACATTGTAATAGCAAATTGAAGGTGCTGTATTTTTAATCCAAAAAAAAAAACAGCCAGCCGGTCTCCAATCAGCCGTAAGTTGCTTCCTACTTGATGTTCCACTTCACTTGGTTCCTTTGCCTTTTACAAAGACGACCCCAGCCATCATTGCCCACTTAGAACCTGACTTTAGACATCTCACAGGCGAATTACTAAGTTACATTTGATCACCTAACTCACTATGTGCCTCTTGACAATTCCAAGGGTCGCTTAACCAAAGTAACAAGTAATTCTTCCTAAATTTGAGCCAAATTACAACAAGCAGAACGTTTTCTTTCATGGTTCCAGAGAATGAAATAAAATTTTCCAGTCACTACAAATAAATTAGTCCTTCTTGTTCACCCCATAATGCAAATAAAGTCCTGCATTCTTAAAAATTTATAAATGGTCGCAGCCATTTTAGACTGATGATTTCATCTATAGCTATTTCATAAGAACTTTCAAATTTGTAGGTCCCAGTTCATCACAAAAAATTCTTAAGTTTTTGTCTTTGCGTCACCTTGCCATCTCACAGAAATGAACACGCTTCATGCTTCATTAAGATGCGGTACCCGCATTTATAGCAAGAAATTTCGAGGAAGCAAGGGCCATCATGGTGGTCCCAATCTTCATTATGAAATATAGCTAGCTAGGATATTGTAGTATGCCTAACCAAGTCGGTGTTAGAAAATTAGCAATGGCTTTTACTGTACGGCTGCTTCTGTTTTCCTCACTGTTTCTGCTACCAGTTTCTGTGTTTGCTCAAACTAACGGTAGCATAGCAGTGGGGGATTTCCTAACTGCAACTGCAGCTAACTCCTCACTATGGCTTTCTCCATCTGGTGATTTTGCCTTTGGATTTTTTCCACTTGGAAGCAATGGTCTTTTCCTGCTCTCAATATGGTATGCCAAAATACCAGACAGAACCATAGTTTGGTATGCAGATCGGGATAATGAGGCTGCAGTTGCACCCAAGGGGTCAACTGTGAACTTGACTGCCAACAGCGGTCTGGTGCTTAGAAGTCCTCAGGGTGAAGAGCTATGGAAATCTGGAACCAGTGCTGGTGTTGTTGCCAATGGGGTCATGAATGATACAGGCAACTTTGTTCTTCAAGATAGAAATTCAGAAAGCTTATGGGAGACCTTCAACAATCCCACTGATACCCTGTTGCCTGGACAGACATTGGAAAGAAGTGGGAAGCTTTCGTCTCGACAATCGGAGACTAACTATTCGAAAGGACGGTTCCAGCTGCTTCTGCAAGAAGATGGGAACCTTGTGCTCAGCACCATAAACTTGCCAACAAACTTTGCCAATGAACCTTACTATGCAACCGACACTACCTCAGGGACTGTGGCAGGTAGTGAAGGTAAAGAATTGGTTTTCAATGTCTCAGGCTACTTGTATGTTCTGAGAGAGAATGGTGGAAAGTACAATCTTGCAGTGGGAGAGGTAGTCTCAGCAAGGGACAACTATATTAGAGCAACTCTCAACTTTGACGGGATTTTTGCTCAATATTATCACCCCAAGAATTTCACTGGAAATGTAAGCTGGACTATTCTGTGGTCAGAGCCAGATAATATTTGCCAAAGAATTACCGAAAGTTCAGGTGTAGGTGTTTGTGGGTACAACAGTATCTGCACTCTCAAAGGAGATAAGAGGCCAACCTGTGGATGCCCAACAGGGTTCTCTTTACTTGATCCAAATGATCCATATCGGGGATGCAAACCGGATTTCATACAAGGCTGTAAAGAAGATGAGCTTAGTGGCACAAAAGATTTATATGATGTTGAGGTGCTAATAAATACAGATTGGCCAATCTCAGATTATGTGCAGTTAAAACCTTTTACTGCAGAGAAGTGCAATGAATCTTGCTTTCAAGATTGTTTGTGTGCTGTTGCTATTTTCCGGTCTGAAACCTGCTGGAAAAAGAAGTTACCTCTCTCAAATGGGAGAGTGGATGTAAGTCTTAATTCACAAGCCTTCATCAAAGTCAGAAAGGACAATTCAACTCTACCAATATCAGCTCCTCAACTTCCATGTCCAGATGAATTGTAAGGTCTGTAGATTATGAAGTTCAGGCCTTCGGTGATAAAAAGACGCTGGAAAAGTTTGTGATGGTTATTATTTGGTGTATTCAAGAAGGCCCTTCTCTTAGACCCAATATGAGGAAGGTTGTTGAGATGCTTGAAGGAGTGGTGGAAGTACAAGTTCCACCATGCCCTTCCCCATTTTCCAGAGCATGCTTGAAGGAGTCATTTGTATCGCAGGTTTAAATCATTTTCGGTACTAAGTTGCTTATTTTCTGTTTATCAATCGTTTGTAGTGGACTTATTTGTAGTTTTGCATCGCTTTAATTTGGCCATAGTGATAAGAAAGAAGGCTTTGTGTAAGTTATGTTCTTTTTTGGGAAGGACAAATTCTGTTAAGAAAACGTAGTGCAACTATGTGTTTGCTTAATCTAAGTATTGATGAAGTTTGTGGCCTATTTATTTTTACTGGTTTCTGAAAAACCAAGGCCATTATTGGTTGTGGTTTGTGTTCCTTTCTATTGGTAAGTACTTGTTCACACTAGTTTTCTTCTATGCCACAAATGTTATATTTCTATTTAGATCGGTGCACTAGATAGTAAGTTATATCAGGTTTGATAGGAGTTTAAATTTGGTTATACCTTGAGGCCCAAAACTTTGTGAAATAAGGAAAGTTTTGAAGCCAATTAAAGGGGTCCTATTTATTTCCTTTTGCGTGAACTGTTGCTTGATGGACTTAAAGTGTTAGTCAAGTCGGCCCTCGATGATGAGTAAAGACGATTTAACCTAGTCCTATATAAGCTTAAGACCCTGCTCTAGTCAGATACGTTCTCTAAACCTAATCTCATCATAAAGAGAGAGCTAAAACAGTTTCTAATAGAGAGTAGAAGTCTTGAGCCATTCGTGTTTTGCTAGTGTTGCTAATACTGAGGATTGAATGAGTTCTAAGATCATGTTCTCAAGGAAGATGACTCCAGTTATGTCTTCTATGTATTTCAAGTTGTGTGAAAGAACATGAACACATATATAGAAAATCTAACAGTTGGTGTCAGAGCACATGGTTACTCTCATGGGTGAATTCTGCCATATTGATGGCTGGATTCTGCATAAAAAGCTTCATTTCTTCCCAATATATCAACAATATTTTTGTAATGGATCGGATTGTTGCAACTCGATCCTTTTCTTGTCGATTGAGACTAAACATCAGAGTTCTGGAGGTTCAGAACAAAAGATCTATTTCAGTCCTCTAGAGAACTGGCTAGACCATCTTCAATAAGTCTCTGGGCCGTGACACCATGGGAGCAGCCGTTCTAGTTGACTCCAAGGAATGTGAAAGGACCAAGGTCATCATGATAATACCTTGCCTCAAAACACATGGCAGAGGGCAGAAATGGACGTGGATCGGCCTCTACTATCTCCATGAAACCTTCTTCATTCCAAAGGGCTAATTGCTGATGCAAAGTGGAAGGAACACATAGGCTCTGATGGATCCAATCCCTGCCAAGTAATGCATTGTAAGTAGTAGAAGTGGTGTCTACCACAAAAAATGCAATCTTCAGCCCTTCGGTTCCAACTATGACATCCACATCAAGGATTCCGTGAGTCTTAGTGATGCCCCCAGCAAAGTTGGTGACGGTCAAGCGTGTTGGAATTAGATCCTTCTATGTTCTGCCCATCTTGCTCAGCAATCTGTGAGGTAGAAGATTAATGGCTGCACCTCCATCTACCATTACTTTGGAGATATGAATACCCCCAAAGTTTGCTGTTATGAACAGAGGTCTAAGGTGATTGGCCATCTCTTTGGTTGGTTTGGAAAAATAAAGCTGCTCTGCAGTCAGTTTCATGGCAATTTCGCCTGTTTTGGCAATAGGTGTTTGCTATTATGGCGCCTCATCTACCTCTGCCAATCTGCACTCAAAGCTTTCCTGGGAGAACACATCTCCCTCCAGAGTGTTTTCTTGCCTTTCTGCTGCCCTGAACTTTTCTGGCAAGATAAACTCCATATTAATGCATATATCACCCTGTAACAGGCTCTCTAATTCTACACCAAAAGCCTCAGTTTCTTCATCCAGTTCTCCATCATACTCCATCTGTTCTTCCCCATATTATTCTGTCCAGTCCTCTTGTTATCCTGTTTCGAGGAGCCCAATCTGGTTGTCTGCAGATGATTCGTAGTCCAATTGTTCTTCTTCATATTCTTCAGTTCAGTCCTCTTGTCCTTCTACTGGAATAGGTCCGGATTCACTTTGTGATTGTGAAGGTTCATGCTGAATGACTGAGGATGAGGCAAGATGAATGGATGGTCTGCTTGGAGATTTTATCTTTGTCAGCTGTTGTGGTTGATATGTTGTTTATTTTGCTTGATGATTCTTCCATCTTCTGGCAGAACTGGTCTCTGGAAGTACCTGTGTGGCATCCTTGTTTTAGTGGAATGTGCAATATTGTCTTTGAACTCTCCTCTTCTGAGTTCTGGTTAACTCCAGAGTTAGCCTCCCGCTTTTTCCAACAGAATACCATCTGCCTTCTATGATAGTTGCCAGAGGCTTTCCATTTTCGGGCATCTTAATTGGTATTTCCTTATTTGGCTGCTCCGTCATTCTTTTGCTGCATTAGGCAGGCCTTAGATGGTCCTTCTGTCTGGCTTTATCTTTAGATGGAGCCGAAACTAGGCCATGTTGGTATAATGTTCCAATCCTGTCAAAAACGCTAGGTGTAGGCTGATTTTGCCCATCCAGAGTTACCTCTAACTTACTTTCACACTTGCATTTGCTGCACAGAACCACCCAAGCCGAGATGGTTGCCTTTGGCCTTTGATTAGTCTCCCTTGTGACTCTTCTGCCTCTGTTGGAGCTAGCCTTTGCCGCTGGTTTGTCTATCTTCTGTTCTGGTCAATTTAAGTTGACCATGTTGACTTGAGGTTGGGGAAAATGATCTATTGTAACTGAGGGAGGTTTCTCTGCCAGTTTTAGCCTTCTTACTGGTATTCCTTCATGTATGACATCTCTGAAAACAACACAGCTGTTGGTGGAATGGTTCCAAGATTTGTGCCACTTGCAATATTGTCTGCCCTTGAGTTCATCTGGCTTGGGCAACCTATGGGGTGTTTCTATTGCCTTTTGTAGCAGCATCTCATCAAACAAAGCATCAACCCTGGTTAGATCGAAGGAATATATCTTGTTCTGTGTTCGTTTGTTTAGAATAAACCCTCCTGTGAACGGTGGTGGCTTCTAGTCCTTTGGTGGCTTTGTAAGAACTTTGCAACTAATGGGATGTTTCAATTTTGCCATTTCTGCCACCGCAATTTCTCTTTCCTCCGAGCCTTCTGTGTCTTCTTCTGACTCTACCTCAACCAGATGTATTGAGGAAAACTGGGTTTTGTAGTATGTGCCTTTGGAAGAGTTCCTCTTCTGTTGTTCTTCCTTCAGCAGCTCCTCGTATTTAGACTCTTTGTCTGCCAATTCTGTCAGATCTCCAAACAGCATCCCATCAAATCTCTTTCTCAGAGAGATTTTAAGGGCAGTTTGAGCCATTTAAATGAAGTGTCTTTCTTCCATAGGGATCTGGCATTTCATTTTGAGCTTTCTAAACCTGGTTATGAAATCCTGGGCAGGTTCATCTTCAGTATGTTTGAGGGCTACAAGATCACTGATGGTGACTTCTGGCTGGATCCTGAAATAATAGTCATGGAAGACATTTTCCATCTATTCCCAGGTTTGAACAAAATTGGCTGGTAAGCTGGTATACCAGGTGAAGGCTTGTCTAAAGATAGAGTTTCCAAAAAGCCTCAGTTTTAACATAGGGTTATTCTCTATGGCTATGCACTAGACAGAGAACCTGTCTATATGCTCAACTGATGAAGCATGAGGATCCTCTCCATTAAACAGGGTAAAGTTTGGTACCTTGAAACCCGTTAATAGCGGTATCTGATCAATATAGGCCGGATATGGCTTTCTGTATGTGGGCCTTTCTCCTCTTCTGGCTTCAGGCTCTATCATTTCCCTTATCATTCTTTGTAGTGCCCCCATGTCATTCAAGGCATTGGCAGGATGCGGATTTTGCCCCAATTCTGGCTGGTTGTTCTCAATCCTGTGCTCCATCCTGTATGGTCTGGGCAGAACTTCCTCCCTGTGTTCTTCCTCTTCTTCAAAATCTGGATGATTCCTCAAGTTTGCCCCCAAACTATTCCTATCATTGTTGGCAAAGGGGTTAATTCCCTTTCTGCCTCTCATGCCTCTTGCTAGTGGAGGGAATGGATTGGGGTCCATCTTTCTACGTCTGTAAGGCAACACAGCCGGTGCCTCCCGCAGAAGTGCCAAGGGCTGATCACGTGGGGCCACAAGGAGTGGAATAGGTGTAGGTTTTGGCTGATTCTAGGGGGCCTGAACTGGTGCAAGGCCTTTTGGCCGAGCTGGAACCTCATGCTCTTGGATGGGAAGGACTCGTCTCCTCTGTCCAACTTAGACTTCTCCATGCCCTGGTATTCCAACTATTTGTGCGATGAGATGGTTCTTTTGGTATGGTCATGCCAGTCCTGGTAGAGGTCCATAAGGGAGGTCTAGCTGTTGGGCCACAACATCTGGGTTTGGAATCCTGGCCATAGTAGCCTCACGGTCCTTTCTGAATTGTCTATTAACTTGCCATTGCATCATGGCTGTCATGTTGTTCAGAGTATCCTGGCTCCTTTGTGATATGGCCTCCTGTCGGGACACAGTTTCCTGTATTTGATTCAACCTCTTGGAGCCAGACCTAGAACGTCTACTCCCGGTACTGCCATGGGCTGATTGCCTAGCATCACTTTCTTCTGACTTCAGTCCTTCCCAGATAGCTGCTTGATCTCTTTCCATGGCGCAGCGTGGATTCTGCTAGAACTTCCAATATTTATATACTTTAGAAAAAATTTCTAGGATTATGTATACTGAGAAGTCCCACCGAGCGTGCCAAATTGTTCACCCGTTTTATGTTTGTTCCTGTGATGGTAGGGCAAAGTTCCTCATTGGCTTGAAAACCATTGACTAGTCAACAAGTCAACTATCTTTAGTATGCGAGCATGCCACTGCTAGCAATGAAAAATCCTAGCAGACTTTAAAATACATAACTTGCGCCCCAAGTTACTGATTTCTAAATAAGCGATTGTGAATTTGGGTGAGGAATATCTCCCAAGTAAGTTCTTTTCTTGCCTCAGACTGGTAAGAACTTCACAATTTTTCATAGTACAAAATTGGTAGTTCTGGCCAAAATAAATTATAAGAAAGTAAACTGTTTTTAGGCGAAACTGCCTTTTACAAAACTCAAAAAGGAAAATCCAACTCTAGAAAGACAAAAAGAAAGCTGGACTTCCATTTCTGCCTGGATAGACACTTATGATCCAGGCTGGACTGGGTATACCTGTGTTGGATTGGACTGTCACTAACTTCAACTGCTAAGTTTCACTTATAAATCGATACCAACGTTAGAGTTTGGCAGAGCTTTAATCTATTTCAAGCCTTGGATAGACACTTCTGATCCAGGCTGGACTGGGTATACCTGTGTTGGATTGGACTGTCACCAACTTCAACTGCTAAGTTTCACTTATAAATCGATACCAACGTTAGAGTTTGGCAGAGCTTTAATCTATTTCAAGCCCTGGAAGGCTTCTTGAACAGGCAGAATTGCGGCCTCTTCAATCTAAAAGGGGCAGAAGTGGCTGGGCTTGAGGATTACTAAGCTGGAACTGCACTGTGATACATGTTCTGCTAATTCAGGGCTCTCCATAAATTGGTTGAGGTTTTCATATTTGTAAAAACTCGAACTCTGCTTGATTTGGCTTTTGCTGAACCAAATTTGTAACGAGAGAAATCTCGTTTTGAATGACTTATTTCTCTGAGTTTGAATTGAAACTGAAGATTTTGATTTGTAGCTGGCTTCTTTCTTGTGGCTCAATGAGCTCTTGGTTACTTCAGTTTGTTCGAAGGTTTTTTAGATCAAGTGATCATTTTGAGTTTTTGTCTTTGATTGATTTTTTTTGGATGTGTCTTGATCTGCTCACCTCCTCTCATATTTATAGAAAATGCTAGAGTAGGATTTGTAATCTTTTAAAATGGGCGGCAGATTCTCAAAAAGATCTTTCATTTTTAAATGTAAAGGAAAAAAGGGAAGTTATCTATTCTGGCAAGTAAAATATCAACAGTCAGTTCTAAGGCAATCACTTCTCTGTTTTTCTTTGAAAGAAAACTTAATCCTTTCTTTTTAATCTTTAACTACTTTTTTGCAAGAGTTCAAAACTGTTGTGATGGTTAGTTTGATCTTCCAGATGAACAAATTCCTGCACCCTACTTATCTCTTTTTAGAAAATGTGGTCTGCTTATCCCTTGGGAACGATGCCTACCGAATTTTTCTGTATATAGAAAAGGATTTTGATCTTTTCTCTGTCTATGAAAGACTGGAGAAATCTTTCTACAAGAGTGCCTTCACTAATTCCCTGTCAAATTCCTTTGAGACTAGCTGAAATTGCTAACTATTCAAGGTCAGGTAGTCACGTGGACCTCCTTGAGAATAGGTTTTCCAAAAAAATATGCCAACTCGTTCCTGAGCTTTTTGAGAGAAATGGTAAGTTTTTTTAGAGATTGGGCCCAATTTAATTCTTTTATCGATCTGCTTAGTTGTAACCGCCATTTAATTTCGCCTTTTTTTACAATTCTGCCATTTTTCGAAAAAGTCAAGGGTTTCTGACGTGGATTGGGCTTTCTCTTGGAGTTAAGGCCTGGTCTTCTTTTTTTCCTGTTCCTGGGCTTCTTTGCGAAAAGTGGGCTGGCGCGTTTTAGATTTCTTGTTTGCCCAAACATATATCTTCAAAACTTTAAACCCATTTTTGACCTGCTAGATGACCTTAAAACCTTAAAAATAGCCTTACCTCACTATAAAGAAGTGAATTCTGTTTGTTGCGTCATTCCCTATGCGGAAAGGTATTTTGGATTAAAAACGGACACTAAAAACCCCTAAAACATTATAAAACATTGAAAAAGACTTGGCACCCACAATCCAAGGACAAAAAGACAAAGCTCCAACTCGTAAATCATGGAAACTGGAACTTGGAAACTGTAACATGTGCGCAACCTTAGACTCTGTTGACTTGGTGACTGCAGAACATTTTCTTTCATGGTTCCAGAGAATGAAATAAAATTTTCCAAGTCACTACAAATAAATTAGTCCTTCTTGTTCACCCCATAATGCAAATAAAGTCCTGCATTCTTAAAAAATTTCTAAATGATCGCAGCCATGTTTAGACTGATGATTTAATCTATAGCTTACAATTTTCAAATTTCGTAGGTCCCAGTTCATCATAAAAAATGTGAGAAATTTAATATTATTTTATTTAATATTAATTTTCTATTTGAATGAAAATTAATAAAATTCATTGGGTTAAAGACATGACTCTTGGGTTATTATAATGGCCCATCATCAATTGGGGGATGGCAACTCTTCATATGTGTCTGGAGCCCTATCATTTGGTTCAAAGTTCTTTGTGAATGGAAGTGCTTCTTTCACAAGAAGGGGAGTCGTTGTATCCTGAGAGGCCAATGCTAATGAACCATAAGCACCAGTGTGGGGCGTAATTCATCTTAAAGTCAGAGTGTCCAACACTTACCTCAACTCAATTAAACTACATAGTATGAATGGGTATGTGAAATTGCCAATGTAAAGTTTAGACAAATAATCCTATGAAGTTATATACTAGGTCCCTTAACTTTTCAATGTGGGACAATACTCAATCATGACCGGCTACTACACTTTATGGATTTTTCTTCAAAGAGCTTGGAAATAATAAACTCAAATGAAAATGATCTAAAATGGACATACTTTGATGCTTGAAGAAATCAAAAGAAAATTGCGGCTTCCAAGTAATTACCCTGCATTACAAAACATTGGAAAAGACTTTGCACCCACAATCCAAAAACAAAAAGACGAAGCTCCAACTGTTAATCATGGAAACTGGAACTTGGAAAGTAGCAGAATTTCCATGATTCTGAACCTTAGACTTGGGTCCCTTCTGGAACTTGTGCCCAAAACTATACGCAACCATAGACTCAGGCCAAAACCTTAGTCTCTGTTGACTTGGACATTTCCTGGTCACCAGAAATCTGTGTGGTTTTGTGAGTGCAGAGCGCTCTCTTTTTTGTGATTCAATTAAGATACATCCATAGAATAGCAAAATAATTGACCTTCATGAATCATGTGATGGCAGTCAGTTTATCGGCCCCCCTTGAATCTTTCTCGTCAACTCTGATTGTCCATATGAACATGACTTTGTTTTCTTGGACCCTTAATATTCCACCTTTATTAATCTAATTGTTCTCAGTTTGTTTCTTCTTTAAATAGTGATTGCTTAGCCACATTGGTGTTAGAAAATGGAAATGGCTTTTACTGCACAGCTGCTTCTGCTGTCCTCATTGTTTCTACAACCAGTTCTAGTGCTTTCCCAAACTAATGGTAGCATAGCAGTTGGTGGTTCTCTTACTGCAACTGCAGAAGGAAACTCCTCCTCATCATGGCTTTCTCCATCTGGTGATTTTGCCTTTGGATTTCGGCCACTTGGAAACAATGATCTTTTCTTGCTTTCAATATGGTATGCCAAAATACCAGACAGAACCATAGTTTGGTATGCAAATAATAAGCCTGCAGTTGCACCTGCTGCACCTCTGGGATCAACTGTGAATTTGACTGCTCACAGTGGACTAGTGCTCACAAGTCCTCAAGGCAAAGAGTTATGGAAATCTGAAACCATAGTTGGTGTTGTTGCCAATGGGGTTTTCAATGATACCGGCAACTTTGTTCTTGAAGATGACAGTTCAAAGAAGTTGTGGGAGTCTTTCAAGAATCCTACTGATACTATATTGCCAGGACAGATAATTGAAACAGGAGGAAGCCTTGCTTCTCGACAATCGGAGACTAACTATTCCAAAGGACGGTTCCAGCTACGGTTGCAGCAAGACGGGAACCTTGTGCTCAACTCCATAAACTTCACAACAGCGTCTACTAACACACCGTATTATGGAAGCGCCACTACCACAGGGACAGTGCCAGGAAGTGAAGGTAAACAGTTGGTTTTCAATGACTCAGGCTACTTGTATGTCCTGAGAGAGAATGGTGGAAAATACACTCTCACATGGGGAAATAGGGTCTCAGCAATGGCCTATTATACTAGAGCAACTCTCAACTTTGATGGGGTTTTTGCTCAGTATGTTCACCCAAAGACTTTTTCTGGCAATGCAAGCTGGGAACCTCTTTGGTCACTGCCAGAAAATATTTGCCTGGATATTGATGCTGATTCAGGTCCTGGGGTTTGTGGGTTCAACAGTATCTGCGCACTCAGTGCAGCAGATAAGAGGCCAAAATGTGAATGCCCAAGAGGGTTCTCTTTGCTTGATCCAAATGACCTATATGGAAGCTGCAAACCCGATTTCATACAAAGCTGTGAAGAAAAAGAAGAAGAGCATCTATATGATGTTCAGATGCTAACAAATACTGATTGGTTAACCTCAGAGTATTCGCGTTTGGAGGAATTTACTGCAGACAACTGCAGTGAGTCCTGTATTCAAGATTGTTTATGTGGTGTTGCTATTTACAGCAATCAAACCTGTTGGAAAAAGGAGTTGCCCCTCTCAAATGGGAGAGTGGATAGCGGTCTACGTGCAACGACCTTCATCAAATTCAGGAAGGACAATTCAACTCTACCAGTCCCTCCATCGCCAAGTCCAGATGATAAGAAGAATAACAAGACCACCTTCACGGGTATACGACCTGTTGATGCTCTTTTTCGGAGAGGGTCAACTTAGAGAAAAAGGGGTTTGCCTTCAGCAGGGAAAGGGTCTGGGCCTTCAATAAAGGCTAGCCTGCAGAAGACAAAAATAGGGGAAGCAATCGTCAAGCTCCGGGCACCGGTGTGGTGCCGGCCGAAGGCTCTCCGATGCTTAAGTCAGCTAAGAAGGGTAACTTTTGCAGAGTAATAGTAAAAGGCAGAAAAGTAGTTACCCTCTTACTAGGGTACTGTTCCCTTTTTATAGGGAAGTGAAAGTTGGAGGTTGGTGTAGATTTCCGATGTGGGACTCTGTGCAAGTCGCCGCGGTGGTGACACGTGTCATGAGAATTAGGTTTAACAGTTTGTGAGCTTTGGCAGTCGGGAGTTTCGGCAGGTGCTTGGCACCTCGGAAGAGTGTCTTCCTTCGGCAGGAGAGAAGGCGTGTCTACCTTGGTGCTAGTTGTTTTGAGACTGGATATGCTCGGTTGATTATGGTGTAAACACGACCAGTGATTTTGGCTACCGCTCTCTTGGTTTGTCTTGTGTTAATTGCTGCTGCATTTTCTCTTGGACTGTTCTTTACTTTTCAGAAGAAACAGGTCAGGATTATGCAAAGTGGTTTGAACATAAGTTTGCGTCCTTTCAGTTACCAAGAGCTTCAGGAAGCTACAAATGGATTCACGGAAGAATTAGGAAGGGGTTCTTTTGGGGTAGTTTACAAAGGAATAATACAAAATGGTTCTCAAGTCCAAGTGGCAGTGAAGAAGCTACACTGCGTGATACAAGATGGTGAAAAGGAATTCAAGACAGAAGTGAATGTAATTGGGAAGACACATCACAAGAATCTGGTACGTCTGCTTGGATATTGTGATGAGGGACAACAACGTTTACTAGTATATGAACTCTTGAGCAATGGCACATTAGCAAGCTTCCTTTTTGCTGATGTCAAACCAAGTTGGGGGCAACGAATCGAAATTGCTTATGGAATTGCCAAAGGACTTGAGTACTTGCATGAAGAGTGCAGCACCCCAATCATCCATTGCGATATAAAGCCTCAGAACATACTTCTTGACGATTATTACACTGCCCGGATCGCTGATTTTGGATTGGCAAAGCTTTTGATGATGAATCAGAGCCACACTCATACTGCCATCCGAGGAACAAAAGGGTATGTTGCACCCGAGTGGTTTAGGAACATGCCAATCACTACCAAAGTTGATGTGTATAGCTTTGGTGTTGTACTACTAGAGATCATCTGCTGTAGGAGAAGCGTCGATGTGGGAAATAGCTGCGAAGGGAAAGCGATTTTAACCAATTGGGTTTATGATTGCTACCAAGAAGGAAAAATAGATGCTGTTCTAGATCACGAAACTGAGGCTTTGCATGATAAAAAGAATCTGGAAAAGAGTGTGATGGTTGCTATTTCGTGCATCCAAGAAGACCCGGCTCTTCGGCCGACTATGAGGAAGGTTGTGCAGATGCTTGAAGGAGTAGTGGAAGTGCATGCTCCACCATGTCCTTCCTCATACACCAGAGCAGCCTGAAACGAGCTTTCTTATCTTTGTATCAAAGCCAAAGCTATCCCAAAAACTATCAAGGTCATTTCAAGCTTTTCCCCCATCACTGCATGTGTTCTCTGCATCTGAATTTTCAGAGAAAATCTCTCATCTTGTTCCTTTTGCCTTTTTATATGTATCTAAGATTTCGTAAGAAAATTTGCAATTGCATTTGTCTAGCCAAATCCCAATTTGATTTGCAATGGAATTGGGTTTCTGTAGATCTTTCTTTTTTGAAGAACATAGAATTGCAATTGCAACCTGAAACCACATAGCAATTTTATATATAATCAACTGCAAATATCCATTTCCAAAAGCAAAGAGATATACAACTTCACGCCCAGCGCAAATTCATGACCAATAAGAACCACATTTCTTAACATAATCATAAATCAACCCTAACCCTAAACCCACTACATATTACCAAAAGCAAAACAACAGATTTAGGGATTCTAAGCCCTCTCGCCTCTGATCCTACGAGCAAGCTGAATGTCCTTGGGCATAATGGTGACCCTCTTAGCGTGAATGGCGCAGAGGTTGGTGTCCTCAAACAGACCCACCAAGTAGGCCTCCGCCGCCTCTTGCAGCGCCGCCACGGCGCTGCTCTGGAACCGGAGATCGGTCTTGAAGTCCTGAGCAATCTCCCTCACAAGCCTCTGAAACGGAAGCTTGCGGATCAATAGCTCAGTGCTCTTCTGGTACTTTCTGATCTCCCTCAGGGCCACAGTTCCTGGCCTGAAACGGTGAGGCTTCTTCACCCCTCCGGTCGCCGGAGCTGACTTCCGGGCAGCCTTTGTGGCCAGCTGCTTGCGAGGAGCCTTGCCTCCGGTGGACTTACGAGCAGTCTGCTTGGTACGGGCCATTTGCTCAGATGTGAAAGAATGGAGGATTTGGGTGTTTGGTTAGTGGGAAATTGAGAGAGAAGTATTATATGAACTTGTGATTTGGGGAAGTTTTGTTGGATTTTATTTATAGAGTGAGTAAGCGCGGAGTTTGAAATTTTTGGTGAAAATTTTTTAAAAATTTTGGATGAGTGAAGATTGAGCGTTGATACTTATTTGATCGACGGTGGATATTCTTTGTTGTTGTGCGGAGGGGATAGCAATCCGCGTGCTCTTCAAGTGGACCAATAGAATTGGTTTGTTATAGCGGCAATGATATATTTCACTCCCCCTATCAATTTTTAAGTTCCCGGCTCAATGAAAGTTGGGCTTCCTTTCAAAAATAAATAAATTTGGGCTTTCTTCCAATTGAAAATTCGACATTTGGGCTTCTTTTAAAATGAACTTGACTAGACCCAAATTTGTAAAGGGCTTAAGGAGATGGATTCAATTGAACATGTGCGGCTACAATTTTACCCAAACCAGGGGGAAGGAAAATATTTGGTTACTATTCTCAACCAGATTAGTTTCTTCTTTTCTCTTTAATCATACATTGTCAAAACATGATTGTAATTACTTGTTGATGGCTACATTATCATGATTATATCCTTTTCCACACTGAACGAGATCGACTTTGTAAATACTTCTCTTCCATTACTAATTATTATATCAACATTTTATGTGATGTTACCGTCGCATGTAATAATCCTCATTTCGTTTTAGTTTCGTTCCATCTCCGAAAGGCTAAAAAACAAGAAGCCTCCTCCTCCACAACTTTTCTTCTCTTGCTTTTTGAAGCAACCTCACTGGCTTAACAAATGGAAAGTTCCTTAGAAAGATCTGAGAGCTTCCGCACTTTTCAAGTTAGCCTTTTTGTACTGAATTAGTGGAGTAAATGTTGAATTAATGTAACATAAATATATATTATTTCATGTTAAACATATATTGGAGAGGCTAATCGGTATTTAGTAGGACATTGACATGTCGCTTTAGAAGCAAAAAAGAAGCAGAAAGTTGCCCAATTAAGCTACCAAATTAACCAACTTCATAGAAAAAGGGCTGAAAAGTTGGTAAAACTCTGAAGAAATTGTGCTGACCTTTTAGATTACTTTTATCATAATAAGCAGACAAGAGTGTCTAATTCAGGGGTCAATATTCAAGGATTAAGACTATGACATAATTGACATTTTGTTTTACTAAGCTTAACTAATCTAATCTACCACTTAATTTGCACATGAATCATAATTGACATTTTTGCATATGACCCTAACGAAACACAAGGGCTGCTACCTGCCCTATCTACCCTACTAACTGAATACTAAGTCAAATTTTCCCCCAAAATAGAGTGTTGTTATTTCCATCCCATTCTATTTCCTCACTCACCATGTAAATTTGGAAAAACACAATTCTATCTTTTCACTCACCATTATTCCTAAAATACTTTTTAATTATTAATTCAAGTAAATTATCTTTTCTAATCATTAATAGTTGAGATATGGAGAGGATCAAGTTGCGTTTGACGGAGTGAAAAAAGTTTCAAATTTTGGAAAAGACAATGCTTACTTTAGTATATATAGGAGAACCCATAAAAGCTCTAAAAAGATTCAATTTAGAAACATGCTAATAGGTCAGATTAATTCTTAATCATTTCCTTAACCTAAAGTAATTAAGGTGATTTGATTGCAAAGCTAATTGGTAGCAGGCAGTAATGCCTCATCAACTTGTATGAAAACAATGAACGATATTGACAAGGCAATCAAAATCAACTATAAGGCATGCATGAAGACAGCTATATAGACAAATAAGAAAAAGTGTATAAATATTATATAAACATTATAAGAAGAAAAAGAAACAAAACAACAAGCGCAAACGTAGCTTAATTTGTTTCACAAGAACTACAACAACAGAAAGAACAACGTGGATCCCCACAAAGAATATTAATAATAAATACGATACATATATACATAGTGTGGTTGCTAACTTGCTATAACGTTATTGTTTAATTATAATTTAATTCATATAAACTAACTAATGGGGTGTTCGTTGGATTGGTCGAGGCCTTTGATGTACTCTTAAGTAGTCCTGAGTTCAAATCGTGTGTACAGTGTATGAGTTTTCCACTCTCCCTCTTTGGGAAAAAGAAATATTCATATAAATATATAAGGCTTGGTTTTATAAAGTATTGGTGTATGATCAAATTAAGAAAAAAACAATTAAGGTGATATACTCGAATCCGCTTTTACTAGGATCAAACAACCAGAACAGGACAAAATCCAAGCATCATACGAGGAGGCGGCCTGCTGCTTGCTTTAACATCTTTGTGAAAAGAATATCTATATCTATATATATATATATGTGTGTATATGCACATTGCACAAAGTGATAGAGAGCCTCTGGAGGTGTTTAGATTGTGGTGGGCATTTGGCTGCAATAATGTTTGCTGTATACTTGTTGCTTGGAGTACTTGGTTGCATCTTTAATTAGCTGTTCTTATTATATTCCTTCTGGCGCTGGGTGAAAGAGACCAGAGGCGAGCTCTCTTTGTTTCTTTCACTCAATGCTAGCTGGCTTTGGGAGAAAAAGAGACTGTATCCCACAATATTGAGAAAAACTTACGTACAAAGGGAATAATACTCTGTCGGTATTTAAAGACAATCGAGCATTATTATGCGTTCGTGATTGGCTTGGAATACCACCACAAAAACATGCCCGTTATGGATGAAGTTCTTCTCCCCAATCAAGAGTTAGAATCTAATATAAGATTGTACTCACCCAGCCAATGAAACAGTGTCGATGTAAAATCAATGCGTACGAGTTCTATTATGTAAGAGGGTAAAATGTCATATTAAGTAAAGTACGAACTACAAACTTATGTTGGGGGCGACATTATGGTACGAGTCCTATTATGTAAAGAGGGTAAAATGTCATATTAGCTCATTAAAGGAGAATAATATATGAGCTAATACTGATCCTTTTAACCCTAAGATAATTGAGTTCATATATCAGCAATCACTCAATCTATTTATTCACTTCCTATGTACATCGTTAATTTTCTTTCACTTAGAAGAAAAGGAGGATAAGAGTCGAGCTCTTCTATATGAGACGGGATGGAAGATTCAAACTCCAAATATTTTCCAACATTAAAAAGTGAAATACCATTTATGCCAAAAACTAATTGATTAAGAGCCATCGCCTTTATGTCTACCACTTTTAAGTTTATACGTAACTACTACATCTCATAAGTCATATCATGTCTTTACCATGTTGGATTTTGTCACACCACATTGTACTCATAGGGATGCCAATCAACTGCATGTGTGTCAAGTTTTAATTAATTCAAATCCAACTTGTTTAACTTCTCATGTTAGATAACCTAGAAACTAATTCAACAATTTTTCATCCAAGTGTAGCTATCCACCTGCTCCCACTCCAAGATTTACAGATTTTATTGTGTGCTTAAAAACATTTGTTTCCCTGCATTTATTTTCGAGAAGGATTACTTTTGTGATTGATTTAACAATAATTCTGAAACTAATTAAGTGGATTAAAGAAAGGAAGAAAACACTTTTTGCATGTGTGGAGGTTGACAAACCACACTAGCTTTTGGGTGGGTGGTTGGTGATCAGAAAGTTAATCTCACTAAAAAAAATTATTCTTTAACAAAAGCACTTACATGAAACATCGAACTCAACGTTAAAAATTTCCTAAAACCTACATGGAATTCCTTTTTCCAAAATACAAAAAGATCAGGGCATTAGCTTTTCTTCCTCCATGCCCAATGCCCATGACGTCCAACAACATTGAAATGGAGCATGGGCAGTTTGGTAAATCTACTGGTAATGAAGGGGGAGGAGGAGGAAGACCCATTTGGTCCCCGCTGTAGCACCACCAGGCTTTACAAGATTCACTCGTTACAGAAAAGCAAGACAATGAGTGTTTGGAAGGTTTTGGATATTTTCTGTCCCCATTTCCCTACTCCCTTTCGGCCCTTGGACAGCTCAGAAATTTGTTCGCATAGACCAAACTATCCTCTTTTCAGAAACTAATTCCATCAGCAAGAGGCATGTAGCTCAAGTGGTTAAAAAGCAATCACCCCTGCACTCGAGGTCTTGTGTTCGAATTCCTTTTCTCTCAATATGTCTCGTATAAGAAAAACAAAAACTAACTCCACCACACCCAGAAAAAGGTTTTTTCAACCCAATTTGAATTCCTTGACCTTTTGAAAGAAAAGAAGCATGTGCAATCGATATGCACATGAACTTTGAGAGACCAACAACAATTGCTATGATTACATAGAGGATTTTCAGAATTAAAGTGGGCATGTCCATCATTTTGAAAATTTTGATCTGGTAGTGGAAGAACATCTTCTAATACTAGCACCAAGCAATCATGTCATGTGCTCACAGTCGTACCACCACCTCATGTTGGGTTGCATGGTTATTTTAAGAAACTAGGGGCATTTTGGTCATCTCGATTTATACTGAAACCATGCTTGAGAATTACCCCGTCTCTCTCTCTCTCTCTCTCTCTCTCTGCTTCACATGCTCTCATTCCACCAAATCCATTAAGAACCAAGACAAAAGCTCATTGGCTTTAGCCCTTAGGCTATCCCTCCCTCCCCATCTCTCTCTCTCTCTCTCTCTCTCTCTCTCTCAGTTCTCTGGTTTTCCAAGATTCTACTGTAGATATGATTTTCCTCTCTGCAAATCAAATCCAAGCGCTGTATACCCACTTGTTAACGCTCTTTGTTATTTTCTCTCCTTGAACAAATTCACAGCTCTTGCTTTGTTCTACCCCCTGGTTGTATATGCTCTGCTCTGTTCTTTTCTCTGTTTTTCATGGCTGCTTTTACTACAGATAGAAAAAAATTTCGGGACCAAGAGAGTAATAATAACAGTATCAAAAATGAAGTTAGCAGGCAAGAAATTCAAGCTGCCATTGCCAAAGCAGTGGAGCTGAGAGCTCTTCATGCTGCTTTGGTGCAAGGAAGCAGCCCTGCAAATCTCAGGTTTCCTTCTTCTTCCCCTGCCTCACACCCTGCTTCTCAGTTCTCTGCTCAAGACTACCCTGTTTTCACACCTGTAAGTGCAAATTTCCAGCCATGCTTCATTTTTACTCTGTAGTTTGGTATTTTCTCTGTTTTCTTTATTATTGTTAGACAATTTATTCTTTGTTTTCAATGTCCATTTGCATTACTTTAGATGTAGTTTCAGTTCCCAATTATAGTTTAACCTCTACCTAGTAAGTAAGCTTTCAATATTTTTTTATTACAGAACTAATTAATGTAAGTAAAGACGCATTTCTTTTCTTTTTCTTTTTTTGGCGGATATAATCTTTCTGTGGTTCAATTCAATGTGTCTCCGGAATTTTCTATTGTTTACTCATTAATGCATTTTTCCCCTTATCATCAAGTTGGTTCTTTGGTTGGAAGTTTGTTACTTCTAGTGAAATCAAATACATAATGTATAATTTGTGGTTTCTGAAATACTGGAAAAGTTCACTAAATTTTGAGATATTTTACAGAGTTATGAAGATGAACCATTACCTGGGTACCATCAGGTCCCGACGATGAATCGAACATTATCTGAAAGTTGGGATGAATATGGCCTAGAAGAAGGAAATGGGGATGAAGCAGTTCTATCAAGTTACAAGGACAACTCATCTTCAAGAAAAGGGTTTCCTTCTGACTTAGCCAACTTTGAGTCCCATGCTTGCCCAGCTGAGGATCATAAATCTGTGACTGGCTCATGTACGAACCAAATCACTGTGCTTCAAACATCACCTGCTAACGAGTTCTACAGGTCAAGTAGGAGAAATAGTTTGGGGGATTTCAACTCACTGTCATCTTGTAATAGATGCAAGCCTGCAATTATAACCAGCGAATCGGAAAGTGGAATGAGAAACTGCAGGAATTCTAATACTGTTGTGCCATTAACAGATTCTCATTCATCCGTTCAGTCACAGCCAAAAAGCCGGGGTGTGATTTCATGGTTGTTTCCAAGGCTAAGGAAGAAGCACAGGAATGAAAGTTCTCCGAACCGAACAGAATCCGAGGAAGTTTCCCAAGTTTATAGGGACTTGGGGATAATGTCAATTGAGACATTGAAGAAGGAGCTCATACAAGCAAATGAGAATAGAGATGCAGCCTTAATGGAGGTTTCTGATATGAAATCTTCAGTTGGGGAGCTGAAACAGAAGCTGGACTATTTGGAAACTTACTGTGAAGAGCTGAAGAGAGCTCTAAGACAAGCAACACATGCTAAGAGTTGCCAAACCCAGGAAAAGCTGGGGAATTTTCCAAAGAGAGGAAAATCCAATGATGGGAATGCAGAAAACTTAATGCCGGTCAGCGAGGAAGTAATGGTGGAAGGTTTCTTGCAGATAGTATCAGAAGCAAGACTGTCAGTAAAACAATTCTGCAAGATCCTTGTAGCACAAATTGAAGTAACAGATAACACCCTGGTGGACAATTTGAATATGCTTCTCCAACCATTTAAATTGTCATTAAGTTCCAAGTACTCCAAGGCAGTTTTGTACCATTTGGAAGCCATCATAAACCAGTCACTCTACCAAGACTTTGAAAACTGTGTGTTTCAGAAGAATGGCTCACCAAAGCTTCTAGACCCTCAACAAGCTTGCCAAGCGCAGTTTTCATCGTTTGTGGCACTTAGAAATTTGAGCTGGAATGAAGTGTTAAGGAAGGGAACAAAGTATTACTGTGAGGAATTCAGTAAGTTTTGTGATCAGAAGATGAGTTGCATCATTACAACACTAAATTGGACTCGGCCATGGCCTGAGCAGGTTCTTCAAGCATTCTTCGTCGCTACCAAATGCATTTGGTTGCTTCATTTGCTTGCATTTTCATTCAATCCACCACTAGGAATTTTGAGGGTCGAAGAGAATAGGAGCTTTGATCCACATTACATGGAAGACATGTTCATGGATAGGCAGAGATCGCATGGTTCAAGCCGAGTTAAGATTATGGTAATGCCAGGGTTTTATGTTCAGGACAAGGTTTTAAGGTGTAAAGTTCTTTGCAGGTACAAGTCTGCTGGTTCAATAAGTTGACTCTTTTTCTTTGTTTCAGTTTATTTTTCTTAGTCAATCAAAAGTCTTTCTTAGGAATTTTTTTTTCCTTTCTAAGGGTTATCTAATCAACAAGAGAAGCATGTAACTTCGATGTTTATATTTCATTAATTGTTCAAAAGGCTTCTTCCATTAAAAGAATTAGAGAAGTTTTCTATTTTGTTTTTCATTATGTCTCGTTTGGTATATTTATCTAGTAAATGTTTTTCTTTTCTTTTCTTTTCTTCTGTTAAATGCTTGGAAGAGACAAATGAAACAAGGAAAATGGGATTAACGTACATAGGCACAAGATTTTGGCTACCCAAACCTTTGCTTGCACCTAACTTCAATTGATTGTTTTGAGTGTCATTTCATTCAAATTACTAGGGTAAAAATGAATCCAAAATTTTTCTTGAACTACTTGTAACAACTGGCAATAGCTTCCACTTTCAAATATAAAAAGAGGACTTGTATTTTTTTGTATGGTTGCCCTGCATCTCCCAGGACATGTTAATTAACTGAGACATGGTTTCAAAAAATATAAAAGCACCCACAGTATCTATGTGTATTGCAGATTTTGTTCTTTTCATTTTCTCATACTTTCACCATTTTCCTATTTCTTATTGCGCGCTTGGTCTGTGTTCTTATACACCCATACATGAGAGGAGGAATAGCACACGTGTGGAATGCATGAAGAGAGCTTCTAGACAGAACACCAATCATCCAAGAGTAACAAGAATGCAGTGTTATTCATGGATCCTGAAGCACACACTATTATGATCCATTTTGTATGGTTGCAAAGCATATAGAATAATTGTTCTATTAAAACTTCACCTTAAAATTTCAGTCACCGACAACATTTTGACTAAAAAAACGGAAGAAGACTCCTAACTAGTTTTCTGCGACAGCACGCATATGTTAATACCATAGACAAGAGAGACGCTGGATTTATGTATTACCATTGAACCCTCGCCGCCTTAGACATGCCATCCATCAAATAAAGCTCAGTGCAGCCATCACTCATGAATTTACTTTCACTTTCTTCATCAGCTGTATGAATTCCCTAAAAGCTGCAGAAAAAATTTCCTCAAACTAAATATCATTTTCATAATGTAATTTTATGCAAATGTAATCATTATAAAGAAACTGTGCAGGGTGTTAGGCTGGAAAATAGCCAGGAAGAAGCAACAGGGGAAAAACCACTTATGCTAGAGGTCTAACATCACCTTTCAGTTGGTGATGAAATTCCTAGATTTCCTATGAAGGGTGCATATCTCTAGGAATGTTCTGATACAATTGGTATTGGTGCAAGCACCTACCATAGTTGACAGTGGTAAATTTAATATTTATTTATCAATCTGTAGAAGCACGTCACATACCATAGTCCGAATCATGGGGTCCTGGGGATGCTTCAGGGTGGTACTGAATAGACATGATGTTTTGTGCAGGATAGGCAAGACCAGCACAGCTTCCATCATTAAGATTGACATGAGTTACTTCTACACCCTCTGGAAGTGACAAAGAGTCAACTGCATAGTTGTGATTCTGCCACAAAATGAAAGTCATAAAAGGTTCATACATGTTCATTAACTTAATGTAACTAATAAGAAAAAACCAGCACAATGATCTGAAGACCCACTTCAGGATGTCAGTTCATTTCTTTCAAATATATTAAGCATAAAAAGACTTCAAAACTACCACATTCTATGTCATCAAAAGTCAAAAACTTATAAGACACACACACCTGAGCGCTTATCTCAACATGTCCGCTACGAAGATTACGAACTGGATGATTTCCTCCGTGGTGGCCAAACTTCATTTTAAAAGTTTTACCACCTAATGCCAAGCCAAGCAACTGATGACCCATGCAGATTCCAAAAGCAGGAACCTTTCCAATGATCTCCTTAACTGTTTCAACAGCATAAGGAACAGCAGATGGGTCTCCAGGGCCATTGCTGAAAAGGACCCCATCTGGTTTCATCTTAAGAGTCTCTGATGCGGGCCATGTTGAAGGCACAACAGTAATTTTACAACCATAGGAAGCCAAGCGCTTGAGTATATTATGCTTGATTCCAAAATCATATGCTATAACCTACAATTCATACCCATACAGAGAAGAAAAAGAGTCACTTAAAACTGAACTATCAACATCAGGCCAATATCAATCCATTATCAAACATGTCTGCCTTTTGTTTTAATTTGAAGAAATAAAGGGGAGAGGGATGAGAGAAATGAGAATTGAGAGATGAAGAAGAGAGAAATGAGAATTGAGAGCTGAAGAAGAGAGAAAGAATAATAGATAACTTTAGAACTAAAAACCATTTATGGCTGTTTCTAGTTCTTATTTCAAAAACCATCCCTCTCTCTCTCTCGCATTTCAAAACAAAAGGCAAAAATGTTATCTGGCAGTAATTTAAAAGTAACTTAACGCTGACTTACACGGAATGCCTCTCCACCTCTTTTACTGGAGTTAAATTCCCACTCTGGTTTTGTTCTATCAACCCAATCATGAGGGGCCTTACATGACACACCACTTATTAAATCAACCCCTGCAAAATTAAAATAAGAAACCATGGATTTTAATCCTTTGCCTTGTTTAACAAACTCAATGAAATCCTTACCAACAATGTCCCACGAACGAGACATTTCCAATAGTTCTTCATCTGTTTTTGTCCTTTCTGTACTCAAAACACCAATAAGGCTTCCATCTTGCCTTAATCTTCGGGTGATAGCACGTGTGTCAATATCATCTGTTGCATAATCAGTCAGCATCAATAGCAAAAGTCAGAATTTATACATATACAGCATAGGACACCAGCACACATGATTCTGCAAAATCTAAGTGCCTTAAGGAATAATGCCATTGTTTAACTTACAAATTCCCATGATATTCCTTTCTGCTAAATAATCACCAAGTGTTTCTGCACATCTCCAATTTGAAGTACTGCAAAACAGGAAACAGAAAAAGTTCATTGGAACTGAATGGAGCTCAAACAGTGAAGTTGCTGATGCCAATTATCTACAGTAGTACTAGAAGGAAGCATACCTGATACTTAAACTTCTAACCACTAGACCAGCAAGGAAACATTGTCTTGATTCTTGATCATCTGAGAGGGAAGGCATCAACATCAGAATTCAACATATTAAAAGACAATATAAATTTCAAAACTTAAGAAAGAAAACTCCACCTACCAAAATTTACACCAGTATTTCCAATATGTGGGTTTGTCATGAGAACAAATTGGCCAGCATAACTAGGGTCTGTAAGAATTTCTTGATACCTGTGTAAACATGTAGAATGCCCATATATCAGACTCGTATGATCATGCTGAGCTCATCAACTCTTGAACATTGATGCCTAACCAAAGATGAGGTAACTACTTCCATTACTTCAAGCACTAGATTCCTTTAACCAATGTTTGATTAACATCACTCTCAAATGGGACAAAGGCGGGAGCTGTACGAAGTTTCATATAATTTCCTACATTGTACTCAGACAGTTCAGGAAGTCTAACTAATACTTATTTAGTTAATATACTGCCTCAAGCCCAAAAGAGAGATAGTCAAAGGTTTCAAAATCCTTGTACTGAACACTGAAAGGTTTATTCTTACCAACAAAATAATAATTGAAAAGGTTATATAGCAGTTAAGTCCCACAAACACAAAGAATCCAACATGACAGTTGACATGTTAAGAGAAATTAGGGGGAAATAAAAAATTATGAGTCATCCCACCCGGTCAAGGATGTATTGAATACAACTTCACCAACTTGGGTCCCTGAAGCACCAAACGACTTTGCTCTCCAGATTGAACCATCTTCAAGCACAAGTCTAGCATCTGAAGTCTTCCAAGGTATTTCTGCCAAATCTAAAGCCAAAGAAGTAAATAAAGTACGGACAATGAGAAATTTTTTATGAAACAAATCTAAACCTGTATTATCAAGAATAACAGCATTTAACATTATATAACGTGGAAATTCTTTTTATTTATCAAATGCAAGATAAGGGGCAGAAAAAGCGAATGGTTGAGATATTAGTGTTGATTGTTTATTCATCTAAAAGATGAATGCTGAGCCTAAGAACAAGAATTACATAGCTGAATGACTTTGTGGGGGTGTTTGAAGTTCTAACAAAATAAACCCATCATGTTGTTTTTTTGTTTTGTTTCTTCTTTTCAAATTCTTGGACATAAAACTGAATTCCAATGGCACCCAAACAACTTGCTCTTTAAAAACATTCATGCACACTAATTTAATGTACTAGGCAATTGGTACAATGAGAGAAAACAATAGAACCGATAAAGGGAAATAAGAGAAGTAGTAGCAGAAGTACCAGGGACCGCGGTTGAGGTGGCGGAGGAGCATCTGAGAGTGAAAGCTCTGAGCTTTGAAGGATTCGGAGACTTGGGATGAAATAAAGTCGATGGACTTATTAGAGCTAAGTTGATAGCTACTGTTATGGCCATTCTCCTCTCTCTGTTGCGGCAGTGGCTTCTTGTCTGAGGCGGTTCGGGTTCCAACTCGGTCTCCGGCGGGTTTTGACAAAAAAGGAAGGTGTTTTCCAACTCGGTCTCCTACATTTGGACGTTGGACTCGGACTTCGGACTCGGGTTTCGACCCTCATTTTTGGCCATGCTCGGAATCACTCCAATTGCTCAATTTGTTTTGGGCTAGACTTAAAAAAAGATGATAAGATATTGGACGGAAAGCCGACGGGTCCAGCCCAATGAAAAATAACATTAACTTACAAATTAGTAAGATATGAAACGGAAAGGCCACAGGTTTAACAATAAGATGACAAATTCAGCCATTATATTATATTTTAAGTATTTAAATTTAAATTTTTTAATGTATAGTCTCTTTATTCAATAATTTATGAAAAAGATTAACTATATTACTTAAAAAATTAGTACACATAAACGTGAGGAATACATATGTACAGTACATGAATAATACGTGTATAATATATTTGATTTTAAAAACGTGTATTTTACCATATCTTTGAGAATTTGACAAAAAATAAACATCTTTCATGAAAAGCTCATCACAGGATTTTGACAAGCCTTTTCTGAACAAAAGGCTTGAATTATTGTTTCGAACGTGGGGCTGTGGAATTGCAGGCAAGGTATCTAATATCCATGCATCAAGTCCTTTTGCTGGTATATAACACAGGACTCCTATCTCTATTATTGTTGATCTTGACATATCAAGATCCAAAACATGCAAGCCATTAATGTTAGACACCACTGCAACCGATGTGTTGAACTTGAAATGGCAAGAACCCATGCAGGCCATTATTTGCCATCTATCCTAACAAGTGTAGTATCGTTCTATCTTTAAATATGTTAAATGCTCGTCAGGAGAGATCCTGGACACAAGCAGGTAAGGCGGCCGCCTAGGGCCTCCGAATTAGGAGGGCCCACAATTTGTATAATACCCTATACTTACCTTTTCTTTTTCTTTTTAAATTATATTATATAAATATTATGTTAGGTCCAAACCAATTATCGTAGATACTTATAAAATAAAAAAACTTACCTAATCATTCAATTCAAAATTAAAAAGAGGAAACTCAATAAAGGCCTTTTTTCACAATAAATGTCCATTCATTGTAAAAAAGAAAAAAGAAAAACTTGCTCAATTACTCAATTCAAAATTAAAAAGTGGAAACTCAATAAAGACTTAATTATTTTTTAAACTTATAGCTTAAATCAATTAACCTAGTTGAATCAATTAGGAAATTGAAAAGGACATGGTAAAAAAACTTGATTGTGTAAAATGAATTGATATTTTTGAATCGAAAAATGTAAGACGAGTGATATTTAAGTGATATTTTGATGCACTGTATAAAGTTGTTGTGTAAATTACATATTGATTGTTTTTTTTTTAATATGTTACAATTGTGAATTTGAGTTCATATAATATTTTTTAAACTTACCGAAAAAAAACATCACATAAATATACATATAGAGTAGAATGCCCCATTAGGATGTTCGCATAGGGCCGCCAAAACGTAGGACTATAGAGGGATTCTAAATTCATGGATTTTGATGACATTATAAGGTAAATTATTTGTATAGACTATTACAATCCATGTATGCCAAGATTTGGATAAGAAAGAAAGGAAAAAAACTAAAGGATTTCAAATGATTCCTTCCACATAGCCATTAGCTTTGTTGTCAAATCCAAATCATTTCTTTCAAATGCATCCATCTAAACGGAGACTTAAGGATTTAATAATCAACTTGCTCTTCACTGTAATTGCAGTCAATTGTGAAACCAAACTAACAATAATTTAATTTGGTCCACTCTTAATTTGTTGAGCTGTCTTCCTCATTAGCTCTGCAGCATTCAAGAATTCCTCATTTAGGGGGGTGTATCCAATTCATACTTATAAGGACTTTTTTTTAAGTGAGTGACTTTCATAGAGATGACAAATTCTTAAATACTCTCATAGAGTTGATAAAAGTCACTAGTAAATTGGCAAGACTTTTGCTCTTAACAATTAGCCTTAAAAGTATGGAAAAGTCATTCATTCAATAAGCTTTTTAAAAGTCATTAACTTTTTGGATACCACCAAACTTTTAAATACTTTTTAAAAGTCATAACTGAATATCACCAAACTTTTAAATACTTTTTAAAAGTCACAATTGAATACCACTAGATTTTTATATACTCTTTAAAAGTCTAAATTGAATACCTCCAGACTTTTAAACTCTATAAAAGTCATTAAAAATTTGAATTGGATACACCCCCTTAGGCTCATGTTATTTGTTGAGCACTTTAAGAAGACCCTCCATGAGCCTAATGTGGATGGTTGAAGCTTCTGGAAAATCAGGGAATGTAAATTCATGGGAGTCTGTGTCTTTGTGAGGCAGATTTAGCCACAATGATTGGTAACATGCAAAACCACTCCAACAAATATTGCATGGAAGAGCCCAAACTTGTTCTTGGTCATGACTCATGAGAAATTAGATCAGAGATGAGTTTTTTTCTAAATGAGGGCTTGAAAGAGAGAGTAGCTTGGAGGAAGTTTGGGATGAGGTGAAAGGGAATGGCGTTAGTGCTTTCAATGTTGGGAGGGAGGCCATGGTCGATCTAGTCTAGTGTGGACAATACATTAATTGGAGTTCATTTTCTAAGTCACCATTTAAATATAATTTCAGCAAAACAAAAACAAAAAAATAAACTCAATCAAATGCATCGAACAAATTAAATCGTGCAATCCACATTTCAATATTCAATTAAACATATCAAGTATTTTTCTGCCAAACTGCAGCAAAGAGCTTTTAATCCAAGCAAAAGAGTCGAGTTCCCACACCGGAAAAGTAAAAACATTATTGCGCCGCATACAGTGACAGTTTGGCGGAGAAGCCAACTCCACAGGTTTGTGACCAGTAAAATAGAGAGGACAGCAACTGAGAAGAAATATATCAGAGGACTTCAAAGAAATATAGCCCGTCCAGGACCCCTTGAACGGGTTTTCTAGCCTTCTCGCGACTCCTCGAAAATAAATAAAGTACAAGTCTTTGAACATGTCCAAACTTTACCTACTTTCCAAAATTTCCCCATTAACTAGAAATGAATGCAGAATTAATCACAAAGGAACCCTTCGATTCCCCTTTCTCTTTATATAAATGATCCCAACTTGAGTTAGCAAGTAAGCAAGACATTATCCATTCTTGTTTTTCATTCTGTTTTCAACAGCAATGACACAAAACAAGGAACACATAGTTATGTTCCCATTCATGGCACAAGGCCACATAATTCCATTCTTGGCTTTGGCCCAACTACTAGAGAAGAAAAAGGGTTGCACCATAACCATCATCAACACCCCACTCAACATCAAGAAGCTCAGCTCCTCTTTTCCTCCAAGCTCCTCCATTCGCCTCCTTGAAATCCCTTTCAAAAGCTCCGACCACGGCCTCCCTCCTGACGCCGAAAACACGAATGCCTTAACCCCCAATCTCTTCTTCAAATTCTTTCAAGCTTCCTTGTCCCTCAAACCCTCTTTCAAACATCTCATGCACAATCTTGTTCATGAAACAAATGGACAACATGGACGACCGGCTTGCATGATCACCGACATCTTCTTTGGCTGGACTACAGAGATAGCTCATGAGCTTGGCATGCGCCATGCTGTGTTTTCTATAGTTGGAGCGTTTGGCATGGCGTGCTATTACTCATCATGCTTGCATTTACCTCATCTGAAAGCAAAATCTGATGAAACTGAATTCACACTACCCGATTTTCCAGAAGCTAATAAATGCCATTCCTCCCAGCTCTCAGAAAGTCTTAGAGCCAGCAATGGCACTGACCCCTTTGCATTGTACTTGAAAAAAGTATTTACTGAGGCCATGAAAACCAACGGGCTTATAATCAACACAGTGGAGGAGCTTGACAGAATTGGAACAATGTACTTCAGGAAGACCTTAAACATGCCAGTTTGGGCTGTAGGGCCACTTCTTCTACCATCAGAAAATGGAACTAACAGAGCTGGAAAAGAAGCTAAACTCACACCAGAGGCATGCAAAAACTGGCTTGATGCGAAAACACCCAATTCAGTTTTGTACATATCATTTGGTTCTCAGAATTCATTATCCAAGTCTCAGATGATGCAGTTGGCAATGGCATTGGAGGCTAGTAGCAAAAATTTCATTTGGGTTGTTAGGCCACCATTGGAATATGATATAGATTCAGAGTTCAAGGAGGATGAATGCTTGCCAGAAGGGTTCGTGCATAGGATTAAAACTCAAAACAAAGGGTTAATTGTGGAACAATGGGCACCTCAACTTGAAATTCTGTCTCATAAAGCAACCTCTGCTTTTATGAGCCAGTGTGGGTGGAATTCAGTGATGGAGTCCCTCATCCATGGGGTGCCTTTAATTGGGTGGCCTATGGCTTCTGAACAGTCTTTTACTGCCAAATATTTGGTGGAGCAGGTTGGGGTTTGTGTGGAGGTAGCAAGAGGGAGGAGCTGTGAGGTTAGGCATGAAGATATAGTGGCAAAGATGGAGTTGGTGATGAATGAGACAGAAAAAGGGAATCAAATGAGAAGAAAAGCTTGTGAGGCCAAGGAAATTCTTAAGGATGCCATGAAGGATGAAGATGGATACAAGGGGTCGTCTATCAAAGCTTTGGAAGACTTTCTTACTGCTTGATGGAGTTATGATTGATCATGATGAATAAAGTCTATCCTAACAGTCTGTCCACATTTGAAGTCTTTACACATTCGTTTTAATTACTGTTTAAGTATGGCAATAATGTTTTAATTACTGTTTCAGTATTTCAATAATGCTTAGAAGTTCATGGGGCCAAACGTTTGTTTTTGTTGGCTATTAAAGCTGGTTGGCTAGTAGACTTCAAGGGCAGTTGATGTTTGTTTATTGAATAAAGATTGAGATTTTTCTCTCATCTCTTTACTCTTTTCCTATGTATTCTCATAAGTAACATATTAGAGTTTTAATTCCAGATATTCTTAGAATCAACGGAGTTAAGTTCGCTCAAAATTATCTTTTGTTCTTGTTCTGCTGCATCACTGTTGCTGCAGAGTCATACCGGTAAAATAAAAGGGTGGACTATTAAACAAATTATATTCAGCTAAAAGAAGAGAAAGGTGAGATTGGGTGGAATAAGAAAAAAAAAATTTACTTAAAAAATAAATATAAAAGTGTTATTAGAAAACCAATCTTGTATGATGTATTACTAAATGATAGAGATGATCCTCCGTAGGTCTTAATTCTTAGGGGCCTTTGCTTTTCATGGTTTGGTTCACTTACTTCAATAAGTTCTCTGCTTAACTAGATGTTACTCTTGTGCTGTATTATAAAGTTCTTACTCATTTCTCCATGCAAAAAGGGATATAAATGTTATCTATAGTATGCTCCTTGTCTGCTTAACTTGTTCTTGTGTGGAGAGAGAGAGAGAGAGATGTTGAAATACTATCCTAAAAAATGTTGTAACAGTTTCTTTTAATTCAGACATCTGTAAGTCTTATCATATGATGTAAGATTGAACAGAATGTCGTATACATGAGAAAGTCATAGTTTTGGAACTGACAACTGCCCTCTGTCTTATACCGATACCAAAAAGAATAGACAAGACACAGCTGAACTTCTAAATCCACCAAAAGCTATGAACTTCCATACTCACTCCACCAAAAGCTAACAGAGAGACTTGTTGTTAGAGACCGCACATAGTGCCACCACTTTGGTGGGATATAAAGCATATCACCTTCCTCTAAAATGCAATCAAGAAATTCCAAGTCACGCATCTTCGGGAACTCTTTCTCGTCTAAGTTGTCTAGATCAACCTTCAAACCCAAATTATATTGAATCAGTATATATATTTGATCTTTAGAAAAGAGAATCCGATCCCATATACATGATCTATACTGACATCATCAAAAAGAAAAGAAAGGACATGCATGGCAAGGCACTCATTGTTTAGAAGGGAAAAACCACATAAAGGAGGCCACATCAATTTTGGCTGGTATAATTAACATGCAACTATAGCATCTCTATTCCCAACAAGATAGTAAGCAAATTTGTTTAGATGGTTCCCTCACTTTAATGAGGTCAAGAATGTAATTACCTGGCTTGAGTTGCAAAGCATGGTTTCAGTGTATGGGTAGAGTTCCTCTGACAACGAAGCCAGGTAGAGCCTTATATACTTTTTGCCAACTACCTGAAAATGAGCAATGGATTTCAGTCATATAGATGTTTGATCAATTATTCGTACGATGAAAAACCACATGCATATATGAACAGACACATATTTGCGCGTGTTTGTGCATATATTCAAGTACTGTATGTCTGTGCCTGGAATGGAGCATGCAAATAATCTTGTCATTCATGATAGTTAAGCACACTGAACTGGTTATGTACTTAAGACAGTCTGGTAGTAACATGTTTCAAGATAACTATAAGTTGCAGTCTTCAACACCATAATATGGTGTAGAGCCAGCACAACTAGGTATGTTCTATGAAACTATCAGCTTCTAAACTATGTTTGAGCACGAGGTTTCACTGTTTTGAGATGGCAATGAGACAATGCCCTTAGTATACAATCATTCATTTCTTTAACTGAGACTCTTTATCTCCGCAATGATGCGACTCTCCCATTACCAATGATTTGCTTCCCTGGCAAAACCATGGAATGAACTCTGCAAACCACAACTGAAACAATTTGGTGGTAAATCCAGCTTACTATATGATTATTCTACTGAGTAAGCAACCATTAAACTAATGTATGCCACTTCTAAGGCCAAACCTGAATCCCAGCCTTGCAATAAAGCTAATAGAAAGGGGAAATATAAGCAAAATACCAAGATGAAAACTATGACAGAGACTCAAAAATAAGAACAGTAAGGTTGAAAATGAATGACAAACTCCAGTAGGCAACATGATGATAATAGTATTCCATGTAGAAAAATTAGTCTAAAATACCTGAGCAAGCACATTATGGTGTGGATCATGGTGTAATGGGGTTACTGTCCCAGCTGGACCAAACCAAGCATTTAGAGACCTTAGATCCCCACCACCAGCAAAACAATAGTCGGGAATACATATGTCGTCACGCAGCTCATTTATCTGCCAATCATTAGTGGGATATCAAAAACTGGAAGGTGGCATATTGGCAATGTCCAGCCAAAAAAGTAGGCATATTTCTATTAAAACATGGTAACCATGTAAAAGAACACACCTGATCAAACAATGGATGCTGAGCAAGATATGTTGGGGCAGTAGAGGAAGGGCCATTAGCCTTAATCCTCTCAAGAAACTGGGAAAATGTAATAAGTTCTTGCTTCCACTCCGGGTATAAATAATTTTTTCCAACCTACAAAGCATTCAAAACTTTACCAATTGTCAGTTATTTAACAAAAGCGAAAGAAGAAAGAAGAAAGCAATCCAATCAAGCATCAATTACTTATTAATGTAACCAAAAAGTAAGCATCTTTCCAATCAATTAGTACTAAATTTATAAATTTCGAAGAAGATTAATCACCTCAACTGGCACTGTGCGATCACCAGCAACCCTTGTCAGATAATCCATGTCATTCCACTTAGTCCTGGCAGGCCAATGACCCATGCCATCGCTTATTATAACTGGGTAACCCGGTAAGAGATATTCAAGCAAAAACCCCTCCAAAGATAGACCAGACCTCTTCAAAACCATTTTACAAGAAAGTGACTTTGTGGGCAAAACTCCAAGCAACTGCGCACTCAAAACCAGAATACTAAAATCAATGGGTGTTTGCGATAACCCAGTAACTAGAAACCAATTCCAAAGATACACTTGTGAAAGCAGAGGACTTGGGATCCCTTTCAATGTGTAAATTAATTAAAAAAAATTTAAATGCTATGAATTTCAAAGCAAGATGCTACCTTTGAGCTTTGAATAATAAAAAGGCTATGAATTCATATATGAAATGACGAACCTCACCTCCTTCGAGTCGAGATCGTCAGGGACCAATCGGCGGTCCGATTTGGGGCACTGCTGTTGTTTTTCAGAAACCCTAGGGGCCCTGGCTTTGGCAGAGACAATGGCGACGAGGGAGTGCAAGTCGGGTTTCAAGAGCGGGCCGCCCATGATGAGGCCCATGTCGAGTGCCCTGAGGGCGTCGCTAAACTCACCGGCGATGGCATGGACCTTGGCCACGTGCAGGCAGGCCATGGAGTAGGCGTCGCGCCACACGGGTAGCACTGAGTGCCAGGGGCCCGAGTGGAGCTGCTCCCAAGCCATCTCGCGAGCCGCCTCTGCAGCGCGGAGGTCTCCGGCCGCTGCTCGAGCCGCCATGCTGACGTAAGCGTAGCCGCCGTGCTGCGAGACAGCCTGGAGGAGCTGAGCGGACTCAGAGTCAAGGATTGGGGTTTGGAGATCGTTGTCGGAGTTTGCGGTGGACATGGCGGTTGGAGGAGGAGCTGCGGCCAGTTGTTGGGAGGGTGAGGAGAGTAGATATTTTGGGTAGGGGTTGGTTAACTGATAATAACTGATAAGAAAAAGGAAGAGATTTTTTATAAAAAGTGCAGATGCGACGTGTTGGCGCTGTTTTTGGTTTCGATCTTTCTCTTTCTTTCTTTTTTCTTTTTTTCTCTTTCTAGTTTATGAACTTGTGACATTTTTGGGTCCACGTGAATAAGAGATTTATGATGTGGGTTGATTTTTATTTTATTTTTTCTATACAAGTGATATTGGAGGAGGATTCGATAGATAGTGTGGGTGAATTTAAGCATGTGAATCGTGTGATGATAATGATGGGAGAACAACTCGGAATTTTTTGTTTTCAAATTCTTGCTAGGCATGCTTTGTTGTTAGCAAGTAAACTTTTTGGTTAGAGGAAGAGCCTCCATCGCTTAGGGCAAGTCCAATGGTAAGCTCTAAAATAGGCTCTACAAAAGGTGGATGGAACCCCATTTAGAGCTCTGGTGGAATCCTTTAAGCTTTAAATGAATCTTTTCCACAATATAGACTCTATATTTGGAGCTCCAAATGTTTTAATTTTGTAATTTACATGCTAAATTTTTTTGTTGTAAACTTATTTTGTGTTCATGGATGTTTATGTTATGTTTTTTTTTGGCAAAATTATAGCAGTGGTCCTTGGATTAAGACCAAACATTACTTTTTATCCTTTATATTGCTAAATTGTTACAGTAGTACTTTAATTATGCATCAATTTTCAGAAATCGTCATTTCCGTCATCTCAGTCAACTTTTCCATTAAAAATGAGGGCATATTTGTCTTTTCATATGATCCGCTCTTCTTCCTCGTTCTTTTCTCAGTTCTCAAAGCACATAAATTGAGAACAAAATAATTCACACCAAAGTTAATTTTTCTCAAAAATAAATTAATTTGTTGTGAATAGTAATTGTCCTTTGCCATGACAATTGGTGGAAAAACAACAACAAAATATCTAGGGCAGACACTATTCAAGTCAATGGTAATAACTTGTGCCTCCCCTTGCCTTTTGCGATGGCAAATGGGATGGAAATGCTCTTATAGGCTGGCGAGTGTTGATCCTGTTACTTTTTTTGTATTTTTTTTTTTCAGTTTGTTATTTCCTTATGTTTGCTTTCAATTTATATTATTTTTCAAAATCTCATCCAAATTTTATTTTATTTTTAATTGAAAGTTCATTAGAAAAAAATAGGCTAAATTGTAGCAATGATCCCTAGACTAAGACTAAACTTTATTTTTCGTCCCTTATATTGCTAAATTTTTACTTTAATTATGTCTTTACTTTCAGAAATTATCATTTCCATCATCTCAGTCAACTTTTCCGTTAAAAATGATGACGTGACATGAACAAGTTCTACTTGGCATGGGCAAAAATGTATTTTCACACAAAAAATTTAAAAATAAATCTCGTATATCTCTCTCTCTACCTCCATCCCTCTCTCGACCCCCCCCCACTCCATCCCTCTCTCTCGATCAGAATCAGATGCCATAGCCAAAGTCTCATCGTTATTCATATACCCAATAAAATCATGCCTTGGAATTTCAGTTTCTCTAGCATCGGTCACTCCTACAGGTATGACCAATTCATTTCTCATTTAAGTTATAAAAATGGACTTGGTGTCTTCTAGGGGCCTCAAGAAAAAAAATATATATATATCATCACCAAAACCCATCAATGCCACAAACCCAAAAGCACAAGAAGAAGAAGAAGAAAATTTGAACAGTCCAAGTGGGGCAGCAAGGTTCTTGGTTTGTTCGCAGAGAGAGAGAGAGAGAGAGAGTGGGGTGCCAAGAGTTGCAGACCCAAGTCCAAGCCACAATCCCAACAGTCCAAACCACTAACCCATCAACGCCACAAACCCACTTGAATAATTTTGCCAGAGAAAATTCTTATTGTATGTTGTTATAAAAAATAAAAATAAAAATTTATAAATAAACCCAAGCACTACTTAAACATAGAAACACACCCAAAATCAACCCCAAAGTCAACTTTTTGGGTGTGTTTATAAATGGGTTTTGAGTGTGTATAATGATGGGTTTTGGGTGTGTTTATATGTTTAAATCGTGTTTGGGTTTTTTTATAATTTCAACCCCTATTTTGGGTGTTTTAGTGAAACTCCCTTTATTTTTTTATACTTATTATAAGATTTTGGTTGTCATGTGTTCATATTTATTATAAAATTCACTTCTCATATTTTGGATAAAATATTCAAATAAGATTTTCGGTTGCCACGTGTTTATATTTATTATAAAATTCACATATCAGATTTCTGATAAAATTTTCGGTTGTTATTATTGAGCCGTAGGGGGGATGTTCGTATCCTCCAAGCTCGGTGGGCAATCATTAAGGGGTTGTTCGTATGTTTGATGAAGAGGTATTTCGGAGCATTATGATTACGTGCATCATTTTTCATAACATGATTATGGAGGATGAGTATGATAATGATGAACCAGAGATGTTCGAACCCAATACCATGAACACGGCATTTACAAAAATTTATGAACGGCCCATGGGAACAAATGGGCAATCCCCGGAGCACAAATCGTTGATCAGGGATGGTCGTTACCACAACTATATGATTGATCGTTATACGGAAGTGCAATCTTCTTATGTTCATGAAGGACATCAAGTTGACTTAATCGAACACTTATAGGCGCTGAAAGACAATCACGATCAATGAAGTCAAGTTTAATGCTTTGTTTTGAATTATGCTTTGTTTTGTTTGTGGTTTGTTTTCAATTATGCTTTATTTTGATGTATGCAATGTTTTAAATAAATGGCTATATTATTGAATGATTTATTTATTTAATAAAAGACAATCAATACAACTAATTAAGAAAGGGCACCCCTATCAATACAACCTAATGGTTTTCGTCATTTAACCAATTCGTGTTGCTAAGTCCATCATCACGGAATAGCCTTCTTATCATAATATCCCTTCGTTCTTGCTTCCAAAATGCCTTTGTTTTAGGGGACATATGGCTCTTATCCATGGCCATGGTTTCTCGATCTTTCTTGTCCATGTCTTGTTTATGTGCATACTCCCTTTATCTTGCAAATGCATCATTTCTTGCCTTGTCAACCTAATCTCTTTTCATGTCTTTCTCAATTCTCGGTACACCGTTGATAGCAATTTGCTCCAAAAATTTTGCACATTCATTGTTCGAAGTGCTCCCTCTCTTGGTCTTTGCCACCATTCTCCCAATAGGCCTCGACTCCCTTTGGATTGGTGAGTCTTGATCGATTGGGGAGTCCAACGGCAAATTCGATACCGGTGAATCATGGAGTGGCAACGCTCAAACTTGTGGGAATAGTTTTGAATCTTGGACAATTCTTCACGACCTCTTAACATTGGTGATTATTGAAAGATTTTTTGCTTTGGCCAATGGCACCAAATCACATTTGTACTTGAATAATCTATAATAAAGAAATAAATTGAAAACGCAAGAAATATCAAAAAATATGACATTAAATTTAATAAAACGGCAATTACAAAAACTTTACCTTGTTGCCACGATTTTCGCCACTTCGAACGTTATCTCTCGCTTTTGCCAATGCATCTCTTCATTTCCCTAACTTTTATTCAAAATTTTCCACCTACTAGCCAAGGTCATTTCCTTACGAAGCAAACCCGATCTCTCACAAAATTCTCCATGAATTTTCCTCCACATATGAGAGAACTTCATCTCATTGCCCGTGATCGGGCAATGGCCAACTTGAACCTAACACTCACACAATAAAACATCTTCCATGGTTATCCATCAGCCTCCAGCTTCTATAGAATAGGTCATTTATATTTTTACATAAATGGAATTTAAAGTAGTCGAAAATTTGGTGTGGAAAGTGAATAATATAAGTAGGTATTTATAAATATATAAAAATTCAGAATTTTTTTTTCAATTTTTTTTTCGGCCATTGGATGGCAACGGAAAAATTGATCGAACACCTCACATACCACCACATGGCTTCTAGCCATTGGAGTAAAAAAAAATTCAAGTTTTTTAACCGTTGGCATATGTGACGCACGTGGTCCCTGCGTATACGTCACACGCCAACAGTAAAAAAATTTAATTTCGTGCACTGACATCACAAGCCTAAAATAATTTATATATATATATATTATTTATTATTATATATAAATATAAATATAAATTATTTATATAAATCGAACAGAAGCTCAAGCTCATCTTGCCTTGGGCTTTGCCCGGGTTGGTGGAGCCCATATCTTACCTGGACAAGATTTGTGCACGGGAAACTGCTTTTGAGGCCTAATGGGACCTTTTGCCTAGGCTACATGGCTAGGGTGGAAGTGCTCTAAAAACAAAAAGAAATAGAAGCAAAAAAAGGGCTGTCAAGGAAAGCAAAAATACACAAGGTTAGCGATTGGATCAGCCTAGGAAAGCAGATCTGGGTGAGTAGCCATGGGGAACTGCGCAAGCGAGTGAATGGCAGCACCTAAAGTGGGCTTCAATTTCCACGTAGCGGGCCTCGCTTTGTTTCACATGCTTCAACCAGAGCCCTATATATATGAAGGTGGATGCAACCCTCCAGCCATGCTTGGGTTTTTAAAGACCCAACTTGCTTCTACCAGGGATGACGTTTTGACCCCAGGTGCAACCTTTTAAAGCACAAGAGTGGTGCAGCCCCATTTAGAGCATTCATTGAGCTTGCTCTTACGTCTTTGCTATTGGATCAAATTAATGAAATCTTTGCTCAGGTTAAACAAAAAAAAAGGTTATAGTAGGGCTCGTTTGAAATTGCTTCTCTATAAAACACTTATGCTCATAAGCGCTTTTATTATAAAGATATTGAAATTTTCATACGAAATCGAAGTACTTTCTAAAAAAGCACTTGAGATTGCTTACTGAAGAAGCAAATGGCAGGTACTTCTCCGAAAAGCGCTTTCATGACTCAGAAACACTTTTAAACTTTGATGCCAAACACTATCAAAAACACTTTTGATTATAAGAAAGTGTTTTTAACCCTTCCAGAAGCACTCTCAAATAAACTAGTAATTTTATGTAGTGAATTCGTAAAATTTCTTTCACTTTAATTTATAAAACAAACTCTTTCGATTGGATTATTGGATTTACTTTGACAATTGCTATTGATATTTCAAGAGTAGAGTTTAAATTTGTGAACACATCACACATGAGCATGACTCACAAAATTTAAATGCTTAAATTACCTGCATAAATCTCTTAAATTTGTGAAAGTGTAAGCTCACCAAATTCATATTATGTAATGTAGCGTGATTTATTTATGACTTGTCTAAGTTACAAGTGATTGCTTGCACCTATTTAAAATTTGTTGCCCAATAACATTCGGGTTCTTTTAGTCACACTTTGCCCTCATTCACACGAATTTGAGCACAAAACTGTGTAGTTTGAAGTCATGGCCATAGTGATCTTGTAAGACTTGCCTATCTTCTCCGACGGAGCCAAAGATGCAAGGATTTCACTCATTGTCCAAACTGCCCTACCTAGAGAAGAACAACATTATAGAGAGTATAAGGCTTAGAAGCTAGAGAGTAATCTTACTTATTTCAATTTTTTTCTTTTTCTGTCATATTTCTATAAGTTTTTCTGAATTCAAGATAGAATGATTTGGCAAACAAACTGTTCGTTATAGCTTGGTACACATTGTTGGCCCTTTCCCGAGAGCTTAAGCTTTTGGGGTCTTGACGGTTGTCAAACAACTTAACACAAGTACTCCAGTGGTCTTCTTTACTGTAACCCCATCTAGATGCCACCCTTTTTCCACCCACCTTGGTCAAGAGACAGAAAGTCCAAATCCTATGGGTCTAGCTCCTTCAAAATCGTATAAGATTATCCAAGTTTTAGCATCTTCTCCTATAATTATGCCTAGTGATTTTTCTTCAGTGGCCTCTTAGATGTCAAATCACTTTGTATTCATTGTGACGAAGAGACAGAACAGCAGCATATGTGGAATTAACTGGAGGACTAAAATGGTGAATCTTTGACATGCGTTCGACAAGGGCAGAAGGCCTATTGGCTGAGACCTGATCGCGACTTAAGCAACCTTTGAATCCAATCTGCAGAAGAAGAAAAAACCCAACATGCATATAGTTGACCTCTCAATGCCTAACTTATATTTCAAACATCAATTGAGAACATTCTTCTTGTTAATTATAATAGCTTTGCTTTCAAAGTCCAGACAAAGAACCCCTAAACATAATAGTAGGATAGGCTTAACTCAATCAACTGTTTCATAATTTAAACTAACCTCCTAAATACTTCTTAAGTAGTATTAAGTCCACACTTATGCTTAATTATTATATTTGATCATCTCTTAATTCATAACTCTCCTCAACTTTCCTCTTCAATTTTGAAAGGGTTTTCCTACTTTTTTTTATCCCCCTACTTGTCATCAGGGGCGGAGCCACACTGGGACCAGTGTGGTCCCGGGCCCCCACTCAAGTTCTTATATATTTTAAAAGTAATATACTGTTATGTATTTCTATATGTATATTATTTCAAATACTTTACGTTTTGATATATACCTATATGTGTTGTGGGGGATTTATTACGGCACAATGATGTGCTTCAAATTGCTCATTTGCTCAGTTGGTGGTGGTGCACTCCAGGTGTACAAATTACCTTATTTCCATTTTCAGCATTTAAGTAAGAGGCCCCCCACACACATGAAATCCTGGCTTCGCCACTGCTTGTCATGTGCATGCATATCACCTAGGGAGTCAGTCAACATTAAAATCAGTACTGGTTTTGTTTATTTAATCAATGTCCTAAACTTATATCTAAAAATTGGCTTACTGTGGAATTTAATCATTGTCAAAGTCAATGTTAACCTTCTGAGATGAACAGTTTTAAAGAGATAGATTGCGACCATCCCATGATCGACGGTCCTCAATTAGGCCCTCCCCTAGTGGTGCCCCCCGCAGTCATCAAAGAAAGAATAGTCCAATTAACCAAAACAAGAAGAATTATAGAGGGTGCAATTTCTACTCCAGCCCTTGTCTGGACTCTCTGCATTTGTTTGCTTTCAATAAGTCCAAAGCAAAGACTTCAAAATTCAATATTCAAATATGGCGGAGAAGGTTGAGCCTAGCAGTTTCGACAAAAAAAAAAAAAAAAAAAAAAAAAAAAAAAGGGTGAGCCGAGCGTGTGCAATATAATATAGGATAATTCTGGTATAGCAACAGCAAAAAGAACCATGGCAGTTCCTGTGCAATATAATATAGGATAATTCTGGTATAGCAATAGCAAAAAGAACCATGACAGTTCCTAGTCACACAATGCCTTGTGGAGTCTTCTTCATGTTCTTTTTTTTGTCCACTGTCATCTCTACAAATCATGCATGCAACAAAGCAGATCACAACTCTCTTTGGTCATCTTTTGATGATGTACCTTCTTCTGCTTTAAACTGGTCTTCTAGTGATTGTTGTCACTGGGAAGGCATCACTTGTGACAAGGATGGTAGGGTAACTCATTTGTTGTTGCCCTCCAAACGGCTCCAAGGAAGCGTTTCTCGCTCTCTTGGAAACCTCACGCATCTTTCGCACCTCAATCTCTCCCACAATCAGCTTTCTGGTCCTCTGGAAGCTGGACTCATTTTGTCCTTGAGTTTCCTTGAGATTCTTGATTTGAGCTACAACCTTCTCTCTGGTGAAGTACCTTTGTTTCCGCCATCCAGTAATATCCGAATAGTGGATTTATCCAGCAATCAATTCAACGGAACAATTCCTTCTTCATTCCTCCAGCATGCTGGTAATTTGAGCAGTTTGAATGTCAGCAAAAATCATATTTCTGGCCAAATGCCATCCTCTATCTGTCTTCATTCTTCTTTGGTTAGAGTCTTCGATTTCTCCTACAATAATTTCAGTGGCTCAATTCCTCTTGGTCTAGGGACCTGTTCGAAATTGGAGGTCTTTCGTGCAGGTTTCAATAGCCTCTCAGGGACCCTTCCTAGTGATATTTACAAAGCTCAGGCACTTGAAGAAATTTCATTACCTTCCAACAAGCTTTTTGGTCCCATCAGTGACAGGATTGCCAATCTTACCAGCCTCACAATCCTAGAGATATATTTTAATCAGCTCACCGGCGTGCTCCCTCACCATATTGGGAAGCTCTCCAAATTGAAACTCATGCACCTTCATTTCAACAATCTACAAGGTTCTCTGCCCCCATCTTTGATGAATTGCACAAACCTTGTAGAACTAAATCTGGGATTCAACCATTTGGAAGGAAATATCACAATGCTAAATTTCTCCAAACTTGGTCAACTTTTTAAGCTTGATCTAGGGAGAAATTACTTCTCTGGTTTCATGCCAGTAAGCCTTTACTCTTGCAAGTCCCTGAAAGCAATTCAACTGGGCGGAAATGAAATAGAGGGACAAATACAACCCGAGATTGTCTCCTTAAAATCCCTGTCCTTCCTCTCCCTTGGCTGGAACAGACCAATGTCACAGGGGCCATATATATATTTTGATGGGTTGCAAAAATCTCAGGCTACTCTTCCTTCCAAATAGTTTTCTAGGCAAAGAACTACCTGATGGTGAGGCTATGGTTGGTTTGGGGTTTCAAAATCTCCGTCTTCTTGGTATATACCTGTATGGATGTCAAAGCTTAAGAAACTGGACGCCCTGGACCTGTCTACTAATAGACTCACAGGCTTAATACCTGGTTGGTTGAGGACTCTTCCTAGTCTTTTCTTTATAAGCTTGAACAATAACTCCCTTTCAGGTGAACTTCCAAAGGAGCTTTTCAGACTACAAGCACTGGTATCAGAAAAACATGCAACTCCAACAGACCATGGTGATGTTGAACTGCCTATCTACACACAACGCACGAATCACTCCATTACTGCTTTGCAGTACAACTATCTGTCCAACTTGCCAAGAGCAATTTACATTCAAAACAACAGTCTAAGAGGCAATACCGGTTGAGATTGGCCAATTGCAACACCTTCACGAGTTGGATCTTAGAGTCAACAACTTCTTTGGCAGCATTCCAGACCAGATATCTAACCTCACAAACTTGGAGAGATTAGACCTCTCAAGAAACCATCTCTCAGGCGCGATCCCATCTTCACTGTCAAATCTTCATTTCTTGGCTTCATTCAGTGTTGCATACAATAATCTGCATGGACCAGTACCGTCAGGCACTCAGCTCCAAGGCTTCAATGCCACTGCCTTTGAGGGTAACCCAGGACTTTGTGGTGCCCCGCTTCCAAATGAGTGCCAACAGATGAACACAAGTAATAATAAAACTAGGAACATGGAAGATGTACATGACAATTGGAATCGAATTCCATGGCTTCATATTTCAGTGACTCTTGGTTTCATTATAGGATTTTGGGGAGTTTGTGGCCCTTTATCTTTGAACAGGTCATGGCGATATGCATTGTTGTGAAATTATTGCAAGCGCACAATCCGTACAAGTAATATAGAAATAAGTAGAGTGTCGTTCCCACGAAGACTGTAACTTCCTATTAACTACCAATTATGATTAATTAAGAAGTTTATTTGAACAGTTGATTAAGAAGATTGATTGATTTAATAACCTAAAACAATTATGAAAAATAGCAATTTAATTAATGAAAGAAAATCGAGATGATGAGACACTAGAGCATCCGATTTCACCATAACCAATTCCACTTAATTCTTATAGCCAATTAACCCTAATTACTACCCATGTTGACAGTTTTTTTCTCCTAATTCATTTGATATCCCCTCTCGAGCTCAACCAAAAGTATTCTTAATTAACAACCTATTCTCTCTCGAAGCAACGGATTTAGAAAATCAAGAACTCATTAAGGTCTATGAGAACTTGCAAGAAAACTGCATGAGTCATGTTAGTCCCTCTCGGGCACTCATTCAAGACATGGTATTTGTTACAAGAAGCAAACACCAAACATCTCCTCTCAGTCTCCGCTTGGATCATCAAATCAATTAAACATTGGCCAGATATTCAAAGCATTAAAACAATAACAAATACTCAACATGGAATAGTAATCAAAAATTAATATAACTATAAAAATTAAGTATTCATGGTTAGGCTACATCGTAGCCCTAGCAAGGAAAATTAGTTCATGACAAAAGAAAAGATAAATAAAAGACTTGTTGTCATAAAACCGATTTGGCCGATGGATTTGATCTCTGGATTCTCCACAGCAACACAACGAATTCTTGGCTCTCTCTCTAATATATTTGTGGGTGTATGAAAGTTGTGTATGGGAAGATGATGGAAAAGATTATGATATGAAGAGATCCTAGGGTGACCGTATATAGTATAAAACAACTAAATCCTACTTCAAAAAGGTCTAGAAAAACTCTCCTAAAGCAAAACAAAATCTCAAACAATTAAGGAAACAAACTAGGAAAGAATCCTTCTTTAACTTGGAAACACGTCAGCCAACTTGCACGCACGTTTTGGAGTCATTACACTTCCTAGAAAATTCTGGAAAAATATGAGAAACGTAGCTTTATCTCTAAGCTTTCCAAGCATATATTACACGCCACTAGGAAAAATCGGAAAGATATTCAAATCTTCAATCTTCCACAGCAGTGCAGTTCTGACGGGATTTCAACTTAGGCTGTCTTGACTTGCAGGTCTGGAGCATTTGGCTTGGTAGAAAATTATGAAACTTTGATCCAATGATCTTTAATGTCTTAGTTTTCTTCTAGAATTGGCCTTGCACTAAAATTCATTCGAAAAGTCGATTTTCAGTTGAAATCCTTCCAAGAGCGCAGAATAGCTGAAAATAAGGAAAGTAAAGTAATAATACTCTTTTTAATTAACTTTCCCTACAAAACCTACATATAAAAGGTATACAAATTATAGGAAATAATACACTTATCATGCATATTTCGAATTTATGTCCAACGTTAAAGATCGCTTTCTGGGGTAGTGAAGTGTATTTTTCCTTGGGAAATAAAAGATTTTATTAACCATAGCTGCTGCATAGCAACAATCTAAACCCTCCTCTTCACTTTGTTCCTCCCTTACTCTCCAAACTACACCTTGGAAAAATTCTGAAAGACAGTAATAAAGTAATTTTTTTTTTTACTTTATAAAAATTAACACATGATTATAATCTTGCTCTCCCTCCTTGCCTGCCAGTAAAACCAGAAAAAATTGTATCGACATGATGAAAGGAGTAAAAGAACTTTCTTTTTTGTTCTCTCTCTTTTTTCAAAGTCGTCTTTGAGTCTGTGTGCTCGAAATGGTTCAGGAAGCAAAATAACAACAAGCATGTGATGTGATATGAGTATCTTTGATTCTAATCTAATCCAAGATGGTATTTACGACTTTGAACTACAGACTTTGACTTTAGGACTTTAAATACTTGGCGTTTTCATTTCTCTTTCCTGGCTAAAGATTTTAGTTTGACTTCTTACAATGAAGACGTATATTTTGCATATAAATATACATACAAACCTGTGAGTGATCTAAATCTAAGAAGAAACATGGTACCTCAGCCTGATCATCAACCAATCTTTTATGGCTTCCTTTTCATCCTCTTCTTTTCTTCCATTATATCTGCAAAATATGCATGCAAGCTGACTGAACGCAGCTCTCTCATGTCCTTCTCTCTCTCCCTCTCTTCCCCTCCATTAAACTGGACTTCAGTTGATTGTTGCCAATGGGAAGGCATCACTTGTGATCAAGATGGTTTGGTCACCCAATTGCTCTTGCCCTCCAAAGGCCTCAAAGGAGGTATTTTTCCCTCATCACTTGCAAATCTCACGCATCTCACCCACCTCAATCTCTCCCACAATTCGCTTTATGGTTCACTAAATCAAACTGGATTCTTCTTGTCCTTAAACCGTCTTGAGATCCTTGATTTGAGCTCTAACCTTCTCTCCGGAGAGCTGCCAGCTTCTCTACCATCCAGAAATGTGATCCGGATGGTGGACTTGTCCAGCAATCACCTCCATGGCGAAATCCCATCTTCATTTTTCCAACAAGCTTGGAATTTAACTAGTTTCAGTGTCGGGAACAATACCTTAACCGGGTCTATCCCGTCCTCTATTTGTCTTCATTCTTCTCCCTCAATTAGGCTATTGGATTTTTCCTTCAATAAATTCAGTGGCAATATTTTTCCCGGACTAGGGGCATGTTCCAAACTGCAGGTTTTTCGTGCCGGTTACAATAACATTTCGGGTCTACTTCCAGATGATATCTATAATGCTTCAACACTTGAAGAAATCACATTGCCTCGCAATTCACTGTATGGAGCCATAGGTGAAAGAATTGCCAACCTCACCAACCTCACAATCCTTGACCTCCAATCTAATGGATTGAGTGGTCTGCTCCCTGCAAGTATTGGTAAGCTATCCAAACTGAAACTCATGTTCCTTCAATTCAACAACCTACAAGGTTCTCTGCCCCCATCTTTGATGAACTGCACAAACCTTGTTGAACTCAACCTGGGACTCAACCTTTTTGAAGGAAATATCTCCACCCTTGATTTCTCCAAACTTGTTAAACTAACCGAAATTGATCTTGGCCATAATAACTTCACCGGTTTCTGGCCAGTAAGTCTTTACTCATGCAAGTCCCTGAAAGCGATTCGATTGAGCAAAAACAATCTAGAGGTGCAGATACAACCTGAGATTCTTTCACTGCAATTCTTGTCCTTCCTCTCGATCAGCTATACCAGATTGACCAACGCCACGGGGGCAATAAAGATCTTAATGGGTTGCAAAAGTCTCAAGGTGCTGCTCCTTTCATCAACTTTTTATCTAGGGGAGGAAATTCCAGCTCTTGATAACATGGATGATTTTGATGGATTTCAAAATCTTCAAATGCTAGATTTGAGCAACTGTAAGCTCAGTGGTCAAATACCTGCATGGTTATCCAAGCTCAAGAAGCTAGAGGTCATGATTCTAAATTTTAATAGAATCACAGGGCCAATTCCTAGTTGGCTGGGGACTCTTCCAAGGCTCTTTGTTGTAGGCTTGGGATCAAACCAAATTTCAGGTGAATTTCCAAAAGAACTTTGTAGGTTACCAATGTTGGTATCTGAAAAAACTGCAGTTCAAGTAGATGACGATGTTCTTGAATTGCCTATCTATACATCGACCAGTGGAACACTTTTGCAGTACAAATTGTCCTATTTTCCTCGAGTGTTAGACATAAGGAACAATAGCATTAGTGGGAGAATACCTATTGAGATTGGGCAATTGCAGCTTCTCCAGATGTTGTATCTTAACATGAACAACTTCTCTGGGACCATCCCGGAGCAAATATCCAACCTCAAGAACTTGGAGGGATTGGATCTTTCCATGAACCATTTGTCTGGAAACATCCCATCATCACTGGCAAGCCTTAGTTTCTTGAAATCTTTCAATGTCTCATACAATGATCTCCAAGGATCAATCCCAACAGGCACTCAGCTCCAAAGCTTCAATGCTTCTGCATTTGAGGGGAATTCAAAACTCTGTGGAGCCCCACTTCCAAATGAGTGCCACCCAAGAAATGGCCCTGATGCAGAGCATAACAACAACCAAGATGTGGACAATGGGCACCAAATTCTGTGGTTTGAGTTATCTGTTGTGCTTGGGTTCATTGTAGGGTTCTTGGGAGTCTGTTGCTCTTTGCTCTTTAACAACACATGGAGATATAGATATTTCCAGTTCTTAGACAATGTTCAACATAAGCTCTATTTGATGCAGAGAAAGCTTACAAGGTAGAGTACTATACTGTTTTTTTCTTTTTCTATTAATTGGTTTTAGTATTTCTGTAATCTTCTATTTGTTTTATGATGCTTAATTATTTTTCCTTGTTTTTCTTCCTCCATTTGATTAATCAAACACAGGGTGAGAGTTGACAGACAACTCCAAGACCAAGTCCAAGTCTCAAACCAAAGGCCCGAAGTTAATAGCAGCAATCTGTACAGTGATACAGATGGTAAAAACTGGTCAGAATTTGCAACCCTCACAAGTCACAATGCTGCCAAACCACCTCCCTTCAATGATCCAACCAAAGAAGATCCCTATGTGTCCCTCGTCGCAGAAGAAGAAATATTTTTTGATACAAGCAATATCGAAGGAGGAGAGATTCGAACACAAGATGTCAGATTCACGGGTAACTAGTATGAGTTCAGTACCTCTTTTGTTTATATTATTTTTTTCGGCTAGGAATATCTTTTGGTTTCTGTTAATGACATGGGTTTTTCTTTCTTTTTTTTTGGATGATTAAATACTTCAAGTTCTTTTGGTGGATCAGAATTATAATCAGGCAATCATTTTGGTTACTCCGTTTTTTAATTTTTCGGGGGTTTTGGGCCTAGCTTCTCTCCTTCCTTCTACTAGCAACAAAGCCCACACTACAAGTACAAAATAAGATATATAAAATAAATGGAAACTAGAAAAAGGACCTCCTCATTGATGCTAGTCATCAAAACCTTTGTATAGGCAATGGATGCCACAATCATTCTACAAGTTCACAATACATCTACGTCTGTCTCTCTATCTCCTGTGTTTGATTCTTGCCTTCTTGGGCGAAAAACTAAAAGACACTAGAAAACCTAGCATTAGCAACAAAACGAGAGCAGAAACCCAAAACACACCAAAAATAATTTACAGGATACAAACAATGGCCATCACCTCCTTGTGCGCTTTCTAGGCCTTCCTGCACTCCCCATCTGATCAGCCTCACCATTGCCTCTCCCTCTTTTCCCACTTCCATTTCCAGCCTCTGCGGTCTCCGGCCTTTTTGGGGGTCTCCCAACCCCTCTCTTTGCCCTCCCACTGCTCTCCTCGTCTCTTCTTCCCCCTCCTCTCCCTCCCCTCCTCCCAGTAGAACTCCGGGTCACCCTCTTTTTCCTCTCGTCTGGTTTCGTCTTCCCCTTCTGCTTCTTCTCGTCCTCCTCTACCATACTATCCTCACTCTCACCACCCTCCGAAACATCCGAGCTCCCTCTCTTCACTTCGATGCTCGTAGAGTTCTGCTTCATTCTCTTCAAGAACGTCCTTGCCGCGCCTTGCTTTGTCATCTTTGCATTTTCGATCTTCTCCATTTTCATTTCCTCTAAACCATCATGGGAACTAAGCTCATTTCCACCATACGCATGCTCCGTTTTTCCCACATTCTTGCTGCTGTCCCTCCGCGACCCTCTCCGCCCGCCTCTTTCTTGGGTCCTTTTCTTCCTAATCCCCTTGTCCTCAACCTCACTCGCCTTTCCTTTCTCTTCAACCTCCCCTCTTTCCTTTTTATCTCCCTTCCTGCTCTTAGCTCCGGCACCTCCATTGGCAGAACGACGTAAACCACACACAACAACGGAGGGCTTGCTGGGTTTCACAGACCTATCGGGTTCTATCTTGGGTACTTTGGATTCTAACTTAGGTGCATGGAGTTTTACCGTATCGATCGTGGGTTGTGGTTTTTGTAGCTGGTCCTTCATTTCCTTTAGCACAATGGATCGTAGCTCTTGAGCTGCCATGTGCTCTGGAGAAGTCTTGCGCAAGAAAACGACGGCGTTGTTGAATAGGAGGAGGAGGTCGCGGAAGAACTTGTGGGTGCAATCTGTGTAGACCCCTTTGTTAAGCCTGGATTGAACCTCATGCAGGTCCATGTGTTGCCGGATCAAGCTTTTATATCTTTCTGATTCCTGCAAAAGTTGTACGCTTCTTTATTAGAATATAAAGAAAAGAAAAGAAATATATATATATATATATATATTGGCATTTGGTAGTAAAAATAAAAGAAAAAGAAAAAGAACTAATAAGAGTTAATGGTTATGGTCAGGCGAAATTTCATCTTCTAAATCTCGATTCATTAAATCTCCCACTCCTGGTATTATTTCGAGACGTTCCATATACAAGCCTAGGACTTATTGCTATTGATTCTATGATCCCCATAGGGCGTGGTCAGCGAGAATTAATTAGTTCTTTTGTACCATGAGGAAAATACGAGGGTAAGGGTACTATGGTAATATCGCACTCCAAAAGTGCAGGGGCGAAACCCACTAAAATAGCGAAGTGCCCATCACCTGCAGTTTTGGGCTTCAGGAGTTGTACCGTACACATGTGTAACATTCCACAAGTTTGGGCCATCACCTGATTTTTTAGTATTTTGCACTGTAACAAATCGGTTGGGATTGGACGGGAGAAATTCTTTTGTACGCGGAATGCACCGGACAATATAGTACACACTATAAATAGATCCCTACCGTACAAAATGAACTATCATCATCCACGCAATGTGCACAAGCTAATAATTTTCGCTTCATAGAGTAAGGTTTTCTTTTTTTTCTTTTTTTTTCAGAGAAGAGTAAGGTTTTGTCATATATAGGAAATGTGAACTATTTACTTTGTATACTTATATATACTTATATCATTTTAACAATAAGGATAATATGCTAATGCAATCCACACCCACTATTGGTTGAAAGCATCTAGGCGCGATTGATGGGTAATACTCCTCATATGGTAATACGTTACCTAACTTCTAATCTACCAACCCTCATTCCATGTATCTCATCTTTTCTATTTTACGTATATCATATTTCACATGCAACATATACGTAAATTCGACCGTTAAAAATTGTTTAAACAATGCAGAAGTTACTTTTTTGTTTTTTTTTGGTCAAGGGCTTATTGGTGCAGCTCCCTAATAACAATATCCAAGAAATGTTTTTGTGAGAGAAACAAAAATTATAAACAGAACCTTGGAAATACAAAAACTTCCTGAATCTAACTATTTTTCTCATATGTCCTTGGCAAGCTTAGCCATGTAACCGAAAATAGTTGTATATACGTATATAGGGAGTGCAAAGAACAGTTTCTCCATAAACACCATGAGAATGATGATTGATTACTAGGGTGCATGTATGTGCTACTAGACTCTAGATCTTATGATTGATTTCTAACTGTTAATACATGTGAGCTGCAATACGAAACTCACATATATTTATGGTTAAAAATTACCTACATCTTAGTCACGAGGGCTAACAAAAAAATTAGAAAAAATAAAACATATACCTTTCGAAGTTGAAAAAAGGGCAAAAAGGAACGAACAAGACCATAAAACTAACACGTCCCATTACTGTCCAACACACTTCGTAATTTCGTAGCACCTCCCCCTTTGGGGTTGGACTGTTGGAGGGGTTATAATTATATCCTCTAAGTCCTCATATTTAAACTCCCTAGTGGACCCCACCACTCCCCTAAGGCATAAGCTACCCTTCATCAAAATCTTGACCCAGTTTTTGTCCTCTATCGTAACGCTCATGTGCCGCACGCTAACATCCTCACCAATTACAGCATACCATCCCAAACAAAATTTTCATTTAACCCTATTATCCTGCAGGTTTGAGTTGGGACTAATCGTAAAGTACCAAAACACCCCCGTTTTATTCCTCCATATGACAAAATCACCCTCAACTTCGTGATGTGTCACGCTCTGATTGGTCCAGCCCCCACGACATCTAAATCTAAACTGACAGTCACCACCTCGGCCGGTAATTGCGACCTCCTTTTCCCAACCCTTTTTGCCAAATATTCATTTTCCGAGTTTTTAGATTATTTTGGGTAATTGTTAGTTTTTTTTTTTCATCTTGAGTTGCATATTATAATTATATACGTCAAAATTTGTTTTTGGAATAATTGGAATATTTGTCAATACCTGGCTCCGAAGCCGACGCTCGAATACGGAGCCGAGCCGATGCGAGCGGATGATCCGGAGGACCTTGATCAACGGCTCATGTTTAACCAGCTTAAGCTTAATCCCTTTGCTGGTGGCGGGAGAAACTTCGTCACCCTCGGCCTCTTCGCCGCTGCTACTCCTACTCCTACTCCTTCTCCCTCCTCCCTCACCACCTCCGCCTCCACGACGTCGTTTCCTCTTCGACAAGCTCGCTGAACTCTGCACGTCGCTGTTCTGCTTCGACGCCACTCCTCCCCTCTTTCCCTCCCGCTTCGACTCACTTACCGATTCCCAAAACTCGTTCGACTCGCCGAGTTGAGTCGCCCCCACCGTTTCACCACCTTTTTTATTGTCTTCCTTCTCATCGTCGATTACTTTACCGTTAACAGAGCAATCGCGATCCGGTTCGGTCCGGGTTCCGGTTCGAACCCGATCTGGTTCGTTTCCGTCCGGTCCGGGCTCCTCTTCCTCCGATTGTTTTGCCACGACGCTGTTTTCTTTCGCTTCACCTCGTTGGCTCGTTGAATTGGACTCGTTGAAGGATCGGTTCTCGCGCTCGTCGTAGTCGAATTCTTCGCCGGAGTTTGTTTTACCGGCGATATTCTCCGGTGAAGCCTCTAGCTGATCCTCTCCGCCGCTTTGGAGATCGTTGTTGGGATGGGCCTCCGCCTCCTCCTTCAAGCTCCGCTCCCTCTCCTCCTCCAACCTCTTCACCTTCAACTCCAACGACCTGTAAAACGACACACAGACAGAGTCTCAGATCTCAGACCATTAAAACGACGACCTCTCACACTCAGATCTCTCTCAAGAGACGCGGAATTTACACGATCGAAACGTCGCGACGGTGGACCTCATGGCGGAGCTCATCGACTCGAAGGTTCCGGAGCTCGTCAACCATTTGGCCCAAGCTGTGCGATTGGTTGTCGTTTTTTGATACGAATCGTCGTTTGAGGTCGTCGAACTTGTCTCTACAGTCCTGAGCAGTGAGGAGCGTGGAGGCAAAGGTGGAGGAGCTCTTGGTCTGCACCTCCATGGCGACGGAGTCCCAGCTCTTGGTGCCGTGGCGGTTCACGGCGCACACTAGTAAAAGCTCCTCTAACGTGCCCCATGGGTGCCCGCTCGTTCCGTCTTCCCGGGCCATTCTCCTCTCATTTCATCATTGGTTTTTCAAAATTAGGGTTTTTGGTTTTATAGTTTCAGAAACAAAATCTCAATTTTTTACAAGGATGATGATGATGATGAATGTACAGATTTATTATGTTTGTTCGTCGCTTTTATATTTCCATCTAAGTGAATTATAAAACTTTTTTTCTTTTTTTTCCGGTTTTGTTTTTGGTCTCTTCGTGTTTCGGCTTGACAACGCCAGTAGGCTTTGTAAAGCTCGCATTCTCGCTCCACCACCACGTTGGGCCTTAGACTATACTACCAATTGGGTTCTTATTTTCCATAAATTTCTATGTGGAATTCGAAATTACCCATTTACTCCCGCCATTATGAGTAAAATTCGTAAAAATCTCAAATTATATACTCATGGTGTTAGTAAAATTACAAAAAATTCCCATATTTTTAAATTTATTGGAAAGACAGTGTAAAATAATACAATGATTCATATTAAATTGTGGCGCAAACACATCATCTAATGTGGACCCGAGATAAACGAATAACAGTCGACAATCGTGGATGATCCAAAATACAAATAAGGTATCATATACAAGAGTTATAAGTCTAACCGAATCTTTTGAAGAGACAATCATTTATGGCTCCACATAACTTGTAATGCAGGGCAACGAAAGAAGTGCATTGTTTGCCACGACCTTAAACGATTAAACAAAATTCAAAAGGAAAATATTCTACAATGGTAAGGTAACAACAAATTCTATAGATTTTGAAATAACAATCAAAACATGAACGAATCCCCATTACTCTGGAAGTTCGAAAATCCCAAATATGGGCTAGAGCAAGATTCAAATTAGGGCTACAAAGAAACTTGTATATAAAAGAAGCGAAAGTTAGCAACAACAAAAAAAGGTCAATGCTAGTTTATTGTACCTTAACCTTCATTAATTTAAATTTCCGTATCAATTATCATTCTTTTTTTCTTTTCTTTTTTGTTGAGCTATGAGTGTACAAGTCTATTTGTAAGCAAAATGCTAACGACGCTTGCTTAACAGAGTGTCTCTACATGGACTTGTTGACACCTCATGATTTTGGCTCGAGAATTAATGCTAGGTTTTACTCATTTTACATGATAAGTATGTGGTGGCAACAAAATCCTTGTAAGAATTATCTTTTTTAACAAGTCTCATTAGCATTTATCCTCTTTGTACTATATCATCTCATTGTTTCGTAGTAATCAATTTGTGAGCGATCCCGATCATAGCTGCACCAATAAACATTTATCATCTTTTAAGTTTCTATCGGGTCAATCGATCGAACCACACAACCTAATTGGCTTACAAATGAGCAAGTCTTGGGTTTAAAAAATCATAAATCGCTATGTATTGTTTAGGTTACGGGTTTGAACTAAAATTTAAAAATAGGCTTAATTTTGAGTTAATCTGACTGAATCTCCCAACTTGATCACAAAAAGTTAGTTGGCCTAAAAATGAGCTGGTCTTGGGTCTAATAAATCATAAACTGCTATATATTGGGTTGGATTACGAGTTTGAACTAAAACCAACCCAACCCAACCCATGCCCACTCTTATCATATACTATTATACACCATATTTCTCTTTGTCTACCAAACTAAGTAAAATGTTAATTACATTCCTTTTAAAATAAAATAAATTTAAATTTAAAATGGGATATATAGCTTAAGGGTAATACTAGTCCCTTGGCACACGCTCATGCATGTGCCAATTGGTTTTTTTTATAAAATATATATATATATATATTTTTAGAATTAAGAAAAGATAATATAGGTAGTTATGTTCCATAAAAGTAGGACCTATTATCCTATTTTGTTTTAAATTTAAATTTAAATTTTTTTTATATGAAAAAATGTGAATTTACCATAGTATCCTCATTTAATTAATAATTTTAATTATTAATGTTTGAATTAACCAAAGACATTTTCTGATATTTTGAATATTTCACCATTCTCTGTATTTTACTTTTTATATATAGATAGATAGATAATAACTAAAATCTCAATCCTTGCTCACCATCTTTCTTCTCACATCTTCCCCTTTTTTTTGCTTTAGTTGTTTATTGCAATAACTTCTTGTGTTGCATGAGTAACATGTATAAGAGTTGGTTGTAATTCTATGTATGTAGTCATTTCAAATATATTACATTGAAATTAGTAATTTCAAATCCAAAATATTCGACTATTGCCAAATCATAATTTATATATTAATTTCTTTAATAAATGTGTTATATAATTAGTAATTCAAAAAATTTAGTAATTTATGGATACAAACATCACACATGTAGTGGAAGAATACATAAGCCATAAGACATAATTTTAAATTGTTATTAAACTTGTTCTAAGTTAAAATGATTATGTACATATTTTTAGGGTGCTGATTTTCTCACTCCTATCTTGTCCACTTAGACCACTTCTGGCAGCCCCCGAGGGCTCGGGCTGGGAGGGGGGGCAAGAGCCCAAATGTAAGTTCCAGCAACAAAGGCTGGCCTGGGCAGAGTGGGGTCCACGAGCCTGGGCTGGCCCGAAGGCAGGGGGAGCCCTAAGGCATGCTGACGTCAGCAGACGCAATTAATTTTTTTTTCTTTCCGCTGCCACGTGGTGCAACCTAGTCCTTTCGATTTTCGATTTTTCATCCAATCCAATGGCCTGGAATTTTTCAAGGCAAAAAATTATGAAAAAAAATCGTAAAATTTTTTAAAAAAATACTAAATTTTTTTCTATAAATACCAATCCATACTCTTCACTTTTAACAACAAATTCACATTCTACTCAATATTTTTTTCACTTTCAACTCTAAATTTTTTTCACTTTCAAGTTTAATTATTCACTTTCAACTCTAAATTTTTTTCACTTTAAAGTTTAATTATTCACTTTCTACTCAATAATTTTTCACTTTCAACTCTAAATTTTTTTCACTTTGAAGTTTAATTATTCACTTTCTACTCAATAATTTTTTCACTTTCAAGTTTAATTATTCACTTTCTACTCAATAATTTTTCACTTTCAAGTTTAATTATTCACTTTCTACTCAATAATTTTTTCACTTTCAACTCTAAATTTTGTTCACATTCAAGTTTAATTATTCAACTCTAAAAAAATTTATCTGAAATTTGAAACTGAAAATCTTATCCGAATATTTTATAGAAAATCTCATCCGAATATATTGTCCAAATTAATTGTTTAGGTAAACAAATTTGTGAAAAAAAACAAAAAATTGAATAGTACCCTCCTTGCCATGGCAACTGTTGGAAGTGGAACTTACTTTTTGCAAAGGGAGACACTATTCTCGTGAATAGTGTCAGCCCTAGCCCCCCATTGCCATGGCAAGATTTCAACTGCTGGAAGTGCCCTTACGCTCCTTTTTGTTTAAAAAAAATACTTTTTACTGTAACATACAAGAAAGTGTAAGTGGACAATAGAATAGTGAGAACATACACTTTCAAACCAAAATAAATGTAAGTAAACAAAAGAAAAGTGAGAAAATCAGCTCCTTATTTTAAACCAAAGCAAGGCTTCTTTTTTTATATACGAGATCTATCCACACATGCTAGCCATGTGTTGGAAGTTACCACACACAACAACTTTAACAATTTTTTTTTAGAATGACAAAATTGACATTTCGTCCATACAACACAAGTTAAAAGGAGAATTAATATGTAGAGGGAAAAAATTACATAAGTGAATTAAATACCTCAAAGTTTTAAAATTTAACAGACATATAAAATAAGAAAATTAATATGTTTAGCTAAATTTATTTTAATTATTTCATTTTATTTATCTGAACTGCATTTTATAAGCGAAGAGAAAAAATCCCCTGCCCGAAAGAAACGCGGAAGTCGATTTTTAACCGAATTAATTTGCGTTGAGCGGGAAATGCACCGCCCTATCCAAACCGTGAAAAATTTCGATGTTTAAAAGAACTCAAACTTAATTTCCAGCTCTGCACTTCCTTCTTGAATCTTTAATTCAAAACTCTCGAATCTGAGTTTTGAATTTGAATTTAGGGTTTCTCAGAGCTTCGAATTTAAGTAGCTTCTCCAGGAATTCTGGTACGATGCCCAAGTCTGCGAAACGCCGGCGGACCCGAAGCCAAAGCCAGGACGTTGACGACGCCGAGCAACTCAGAGCCGTGAAGCGAGAGAGGGTTAACGCCAACGCCGGCCGAGTTGAAAATGAGTCGGATCTCCCGAGTGAGCAAGACTCCGTTCAACGGCGAACCCTTCGGTCCGACTACCTCGCCGTCAAGAACCTCATTAGTGGTATGCATTTCTACTTACCGGAAATATGTGTTGTTAAAAAATAAAAGATTTTTGCATTTCCAATTGTTTTATTTTAAAATTTATTTATTTTCCTTTTGTTGCAGAGAAAAGAGATGATTTAATGTGTCCAGAGTCGGAGAGGTTCTGTCTAATCATCAATAAAGTTGAGAAATTGCACGAGCAAGGTATCCCCAATCACTTTTTGATTAAATCATCTGTGTTTTATTCCTAAGAATTCATCAACTTTGATCTTGAATATTTAAAGCGTTTGTGTTATTTTTTATTTTATTTTTCCTTTCGTTGTGTTGTTGCTTAATGAGAAGGCTGAGTATTTGTGAAAGAAAAATGAAAATTTTGTATTTCTTGAGCTCGTATGTTGATTTTGAATAATAAATTTGCAATACCCATGTGGTAATTTTCAGTTCAGAAGCCAAGGGAACAAGTAGCAGATGCAGAGGCGCTGCTGGACATCACTAACACACTGTGGACGTCTGTTAAGTCACAGTCCAGTGCAGGAATTAGCCCATCAGACTTTGTTACTTGTGTGCTTAATAATTTTAAGCAATTAAATAGTTCATTAGCCAGCCAAGAGGATGCGCCTGTCTCAATTAAGTGGAAGGATATTGGACTTGCTGTTTCACCCATTTTCAAGAGGGCTCATGGGTGTTGTACCATGTGAGTTGTTCTATGATTATGTTATGTGTGAAGATTTATTGTGTGACATTGCCTTGTTTCTGTACTAACTCATGGTTCTGCTATTTTTTCTTAAGGCTTGGACCCATGAATACCGAGTTGAAGCAAAGGAAGGCTGTGGTTCGCAGCAAACATGCAAAGCCTACCACAACTGATCGACCTGATGAGGTAAAGTTGATTACATTGGCTGTATACTGTAGAAATCATACTCCTTTGTTTTAGAAGCATTTCGTACAATTTGTACAAACTTTGCTGATGATATGTTCACGTTTGTGGTTTATATGCAACAGATAGATGATACTCAGGGAGAAGAAAAAACTGATACTGACAAGAACATGTCAACAATGTTTGACATTCTTAGAAGAAAGAAACGGGTTAGACTTGAAGGCTTGATACTAAATAGGAAGTCTTTTGCACAGACAGTGGAGAACTTATTTGCTCTGTCATTCTTAGTCAAAGATGGCCGGGCTGAAATAACTGTGGATGCAAATGGTTCTCATCTTGTTTGTAAGTAGATTATAAAAGCATACAAATTGATTATATTTTCCTATTATATTTTGTGTTTTAGCAATCTATGCTTTTGGCTAAGTCATTGTTTCTCTTTTTCAGCACCTAGGAATGCTCCTGCTGCCAATTTAGTGGCATCACGAGAGGTGGTTTATGACCATTTTGTGTTCCGATTTGATTTCAAGGACTGGAAGGTATAGTAACTAGCCATTTCTTCAGGTTTAATGTTTTATTTAATATGTCTTGCACCATAAGTTTCATCACAGAAGCATGTTCCTGCATTATCTAGTAACTGGAAATAAGCCCATCTCAGTGTCAAAACTGCCAAATTTGAAGAATTCATTTGGTATTTTGTTAAAACGAACTGTTTGAGAAACTCTAAACATAAGACACGACTGCATATATTGAGTTAAAATTGAGTTCTTGTCAAATTATATTGATCATTATTTTCTCTTACGGTCATATAAAAAGAAAGTTGGCATCCTAGTCTTTATGTGCATCACTCTCCCACCGCATCCTTTTCGTGTTTGGTTGTCTGCCCTTTTGTGAATAACTTTTTAGTTGCTTTGCAGTTAATGAAGGATATGTTGCCTGTTGGCGAGGAGCTGATGCCACATAGAAGCCCCCCAAACTCCTTACCTGCATCTCAAGAGGAACCAGCAGCATACAGTTCCCAAACAGCCTTACCCACAACCCCGATTCGAAAACTTTCCAGAAATCGTGGCCGGCTTGTGCAGGAAGAATCAGTTGTAGAAGAATCCCCTGAAAATGATGATGCTGCTGGAACCAATGTTGTTCGCAGGAGTAAGCGCAAGCTTTGATCAAGAGAGACTAGCTAGATAACAGCCATTTATGCTCTATGGTCAGTTATCTGCTCCGTGTCTATTTGAGTCCAATAGTGTAAATTGGATTAGGAAGATTGCCTTCTACTTAGAAGTATGTTTTGCATTAGGTTGGCTTTTGATGTTTTGACCCTTTTGGAGTTCGTTCTACTCATTGCAAGCGTACTCTCTACTGGACTCGGATCGGATTGTAAAAATGTGCGGGCTTTCATGTATAATATGTTCCTTGTGACATTAGAGAAAGAAAAATGTAACTTTTGAAACATTATTGTTTCATCCATCCTTATTCGGAATTTTTTTGTTATTTTTGTGGTCCCACAAATGAACATAAAAAGCAGATTGAATTTAATCATTTATACACAAGTCCTAACAAGAATAAACCCAACATCAACCACAAAATCTTTAAGTTGATTTAAGCAAATAAAGGTCCTTGAAAACTGTTACAATCCCTGGGGTAAAATTTCTCTCATGCCAAAATGGGGCCGCCGGAAAAGACATCTGAGGGTTGGGGGAGGGCACAAACTAACAGCATTTAGTCGTCTACAGTACAACTCATCACTTTTGGATTATCATTCAGCCTGCCTGCCTGCCTGCTGCCTCTTAACTATCATCCTCAGTGCTGAGCCTTTGGAATATCGAGTTTCTCGAAAATTGGACTGTCAACTCCCACACCCATTGCATTCAATCCATTGTCTACATATATAACACCGCCAGTAATGGCAGAGGCCAAAGGTGATGCCAAGAACGCAGCTGTGTTCCCTACCTCCTCTGTTTAATGAGATTTGTAACTTCAGTATCTATAACAGAAAAAGGGAAGAGTAAAATAAAATTGAAGAGGAGACTGGTAAATTACCTGCAGACAGTTCTTTTTGCAGAGGTGCATTGGCTGATGAATAGTCAATCATCATATCAATAAATCCTATTGCTTTTGCAGCACGGCTTCTCAGTGGACCTGAGGATCCAAAAACAGAAGTTGAGGTAATACTAGCCAAACGAAAAACCTCCAGGAAGCTTAACACCTATGTAATTCAATAATTTTTTTAACGAAGCTCCAATCATATGGTTGAGAGCGAAAAGATCTTCCAGATATCACCAATATAAATGACCACAATAGTCCACCCATGAGGATTCCACTATTAATTTAATCCATAAGATATAGGATAAACGGTACCAGCAGAAATTGTGTTGACTCTAATTCCCTTTCTTCTCCCAGCTTCAAAAGCAAGAACCTGAATAATGCCAAAATTCATGTCAACACAAGCTTGGAAGGAATGGAAACCGGGATAAATTTCATGTACAAGTGCATGGAAGAAAAACTCACTCGAGTGTCACTCTCAAGAGCAGCTTTTGCAGAGCTCATACCTCCACCATATCTGCAAAGGATAATTCAAGAATCCATCATCATGAAAAATTAGCAAAAGTAACTCCATACACAAATGTGAAGCAGACAATGCATAGAAAAGATACCCAGGAATGATCCTCTCGGAAGCAATATATGTAAGAGAAATTGATGAACCACCTGTAACCACAACATTCTAATTCAAATTAAAGAAAACACAAAAATAAAAGAAAACAATACTGGATAACAAATGTGGAAGCTTGCCTGGATTAATTATTGGGAGGAAATGCTTGAGTAGAGAAACATAGGAATAACTCGATGCGGATAGAGCAGCGAGATATCCCTTTCTGGATGTCTCCAGCAGAGGTTTAACTACCTATTAAAGAGAAAAATTAGTATGTGCCAAGAAAATAGAGGATAGAAATTCCATTATGAGTATTAACGTACCTCTGGTCCATTTGCAAGTGAGTGCACAAGAATGTCAATGCTGCCAAAATCACTCTTGACAGATTCAGCAGCTTCCTGCAAAACATAAAATCAAGATTCAATAAAAACCATATGTTGTTTGAAGAATTATGTTATCTGTATATTTAAAAGCCAACTTAAGCAAAATCTGAAACCCCTCATCTAGATCATCAAATTGGAATGTTGTCAAACGACAGTCTCAATAGCTATTGAGAGGTGTGAAGCCGAATATCAGACAACATATGATATTTAAAATTCAACATTTTGGAAAGGCAAGAGTAGCAATAAGGAAATTCCTTACAGCATAAACAAAAGATAAAATTCGTGACCAGTAGAATGCAAGACTTAAACTACAAGGAAATAGGAACTTAGCCAAACTGTTTCTAAAGTTGGTGGCTGAATGTCATGGATCCTCATTTGGTTCCATTTTATTAGGAAGTGATCTCCAGGGAAAGTACAAAAAGACCTGTTACTTTGGCACTGAAATTATGTTCTAATTTGTTGTCTGTCCATTGTAAACCTTAAAACTAGTCTAATGCTCCAACATACAGTCTAAAGTTTTTCTAGAAAAACTTTAAAACAAAAACTAAGGCAGTTTAATTCATACCTGGACAGTCCATTTACTGGATCCTGCATATCGCTTATTTGTTTTTATCTGCATGAAGGAACACCAAAACACATTAAGTATATTTGACCATTTTCATCTTTTAATAATATAAACAATATATTTCTCCCTTACTTCCTCAGGAACATCCTCAGGGTTGTCAAAAACAGCATCTAGGGGATATATCTTGGTAATCTCCATTAAAGAACCATCTGGTAACCTGAAACATCAAATGTCTCGTCAGAAGCTATTCATCAAATTTACCGGCTAACACTATTCAAAACCAGATCTAACATCTTACACGCGTGATTCATCAAACTTTCCACGTCGCAGGCTGGACTCAAAAATGTTCAGAGCCTGCATATAAGCTCTTCATAGTCAGTGACTACATCATTATCAAAAATTAAGAAAGAGAAAAGGAATTTATGAAATCCTGGAGATCAGGCCGATCAACTTACAGGCACCCACGTGCCCACAAGAATTTCAGCACCTGCAGCAGCTAGAGATTTTGCAATTGCCCAACCATATCCATTATCATCAGCCACACCAGCGATAAATGCCCTCTTACCTGCACAAGGAATATCCATATCTAGTTGGAAAGGTAAAGTGCTCATCAAAAGGCAGGTACATAATTGCAGTACGGACAACAACTTGGGCACAAATACAGTATTCCAGATCAGTAAAATTCTAAAAGCTAACATTTGAAGGAAATATTCTGCACATAGACCATCACCATTTAAAATTTACTGCATTTGATCAGATAAACATCATCGTGAGAACAATGCTGTTCCTCCAAGCATATTCTGTATGACTACAGTCAGCCTTCCCAAGTGTATACGTCCAAAACAAGGAGAATTATGTAAATAGAAAACCGAAAGCTGATAAGTACAAACTTTCAGCTTTCTTTATTGCAATACAAAGATCCATAGGAAAACAAATCATTAGCACAAAATATGACATTAAAGTGAATTAAAGGACAGAAATCACCAATATGAGCTACCTTTGACAAGAAAAGAAGAGGATAATGAAAAAGCAGCAACAAGTCCATTATATTAAAGAGGAAGGAATGAACTTAAAACAAATCAGTACCAATACGAGTGAGGGAGCAGAGAGGTAAAAAGAAAATTAACCTTTCAAATCAATTGGCAACCCTGAGGCAGGCTTGTTTTCACTAGCTCCAGCCATCGCCTTTGTAACAAACTTATCCATTTTTAGAGATGATGATGTAAAGCTCCGGTGGAAAGGTTGTGCAGAAGCTATATGGCATGCACTCGAAAGCTTAGTCCATGAAGCCAGCTTAAAATTACCATTAAGCATTGCAGCACTTGACACAAAAGCTCTACGAGAAGAGGACATGCAGGGTCTGGCAGTTGCCATTTGCAGGCTGGAAGCAGCAGTTGTTGCCATCTTCAATAAATGGAATCTCACTAAGGAGAACAAAGATCTACATAATGCACTAAATCAGAATTAATATTCACAAAGCCATGAAGGAAATCTACAAATAGAATCTTGAAAACAGAATTCTTAACTATATTAATTTTTTTTTCCTGTTTTAAATCAAATGACTTCCATTGTCCAACTATTACTTGCACTACCACAAAAATGCTGGTTTGTCACACTAAGCTAAACAAACCCTTTTGCAACAACTCTTAACCCATAGAGGAAAACCCAGAAATTTACCCAAAGCAAGCTGAACCCAGAAATTTAAGACACATACATTTTCCAGTGAAGCTAAACCCAGAAACTTTTGGGAAAACAAACATAGAACTACAACAGTAAAGCTTCAGTAACCTCAATAATATTAACGTACGCAACCATCTCCACCTTAAACCCCAGAAAATTCCAACAACAGTGTATCACATCTAAGGAAAATCCAAACTTCAACTACATTTCACACAAATCTCAGCCGAAAATAACTGATCTGAAACAAGTATCCACAACCGCAACAATAGTAACAAGTAAGAAGATGAATGCCTCCATAAATTTCTTACCTTTGGGAAATAGAAAGCGCCAATGTGAGAGCAGGAACAGCAAAACTGTAAATTTTATATTCAGAAAGAAAAGGGTAGTTGGAACTTGGAAGGACCTTGGTCTTTTCTCGTTCTTATCAGGTATTAATTTGTTTGAGAGAGAGAGAGAGAGAGAGAGAGAGAGAGGTAGAGAGAGAATACGGGTACTTGGAAAACAAGAGGGTGTCGATGAAAACTATGATGTGTTTTAAGAGAGAAAGGGGCAGGTCATACTCTGGAGTGGAGTGGGAGCCAAAGGAACTTAACTTGCGAAGTTTTTATTTTTTATTTTTTTCCCTGCTTTTGGGGGAAAAGAAAAAGACTTAATTTTTCAAATTCTTATAAACTCATACATAAACTTCTAAAAATCCTACCAATTACTTACAAGTAAGGGTGAAACCACAAATTTGAAAAAGGGTGGACTCAAATTTGTCAAGGGTCTTGTAAGTTGTAACTACGATTAGGAGCATTTACTATGCACTCAAGTTCTTGTGTTCAAATTTTATCCTTCATCAATATCGCTTATGTGAAAAAAAGAAAAAAGAAAAGACTAAAATTTGATTAACGAAGAAGTAAAAAACTAAAGCAATCCAATTATTGAAATTTGTTAAACTAGAAAAGATGCAATTAGCATGGCTAAAACCATGGAAATATGACTTTTATGTACTAGCCATAGCTGTCGGACTCAGCTAAAAATGTCCAAAACCTAAAATCATAGTCTGTAAAATGTAAAAGCTTTAGAAAAATTAAGTAAATTATATGATGTATACAACCACAATCCACAATGAACTCCACTGAAAACCCAAATCACAAGAGGCCTTAAATTGATTTAGTTTGTTATTTTCTAGTCAATGCTCATTTCCCATTTGGACACGATGAAGTTGACGGACCAAGTGGTGAGTGCTCGTATAACTGTTATATAACAAGCTTCCATGGTCGTGACACGAAATAGAGACTGTTTGTAAAGCAATGAATGGCCAGTCTCCGGTTTCTAGACTAGACCCTACGAACAACCCATTAGAATATCTTCCATCTCTTCTTCTTCTTTTGGTCTGACTGCAAAAACTCATCTCTCTCAAATCAAAGCTCTTGGTTTATGCGTTTGGAGCATACAGGAGAATTTCTGAATCAGTCCCGACATCCGTATAGGAGAATTTATGTATATATATTGTTGCGTCATTATTTAACAGCTAACACTGTAACTGTGAAGCATATCAAAGTTAAAAGAGCTTAATACAAATTTGGTTTGGGTGGTGGCCATTTTTATCATTTCCCACTCCGGGAGGATGGTCTTGAGGTACTCTCCTACACCTGCATGAAATCATGTTGTTGGCATATTAATCACATAATAGGTTAGTAGCTTGAGGTTTTTAAAAAAGTTGGGATGGACAAGATAAAAGATTATTATTATTATTATTTTTTCTTTTGACAAACACAAAGACTTATTTAAGGTGGAAGAGAAGAGATGTCATGGAAATGAAGAGTTAGGAGGATTGCTTTGCACCCGAATGTTGGGGGATTCAGAATCAGTTGTGTGGTTTAAAATGTTTGTTTAAAAATCCAGAAAATTTAATTTAATTTAATTTAATTTATTTCTGTGGGGAGAAGGCTATGCCTGTGCACTTGTTGCTACTAAAAGAGAAGCTAAAATCCTAATAAAAATGAGTGTACCTGGACTTGTTAATGAACTTAATTAAATTACAATAAGCACATATATATATATATATATTTTCAGGTCTAAAATCCAAGATCCGAATGACTTGTAAACTCAAAACTAGTTATGGATAAGACCAAAGCATTTGAGTTTTTTTCTGAAATCTGTTACGTAACAGAAGCCTGAATGTGTGGCATTTGTCATCACTGGAACAGGCCTTCAACACATATATATAGATACACACACACAAGCATGCTTCTTCAAGTGTTTTCTTCTCTTTGAGCAACAACATCTCCCTTTGTGTTCTCTTTCTTTGTGTTCTCTTTGTGTCCTCCTTCTTTGTGTTGTCTTTCTTTGGTCTTTTCTTTATATAAGCTGCATTAGGTTTTTAGTCTGACATGGTTTATCGAGGCTTTTCAAGAAGTTTGGATTGAGATATTGGGTTGAAGCATTAAGGGGCATCGTTTGGGGTGAAATTTTTGTTTCGCTTCTCCACCATAAATGACAAAAGGTTTTTTCGTATTTTCTAGTTTTCTGGCAACTCATGTGATTTCGCCTACATTGCCACTTGTAACTACCGACACTCGCTCTTCCCCGTCACCGGAGTCCTCCAGAATTTCAAAAGCAGTTATCAAGTTTCGTAAAAGGTTGGTATCCTACACTTCAGCTGGCTTCATAGTAATGTTATAGCTACACTGCAGTTGTTTATGTTCATGTTTGATTCAATTAATAGGCCTTGATTTATATTGCTATCATGTCATGCCTTTGAATTAACTTAGTAGAACGCAATTAACTTGATCTCTCCTTTCAAAAATTGGCAGATGATTAGCGAAGACAATAACCGAGACGCTGAAGTATCAGGAGCTGTGGATACAAACATCCCTGAAAATGAACAGCAGGTGACAACTGAGATAACTGAGAGTAAGGAAACCAAATCCCCTGTTCAAAAGAGCAGAGGAGGATGGACCCTTGCAACTATCTTGCTAGGTACACATCATTGATGACAATCAAATTTTCATTCCTTAGGTTATAGAGTTGCAAAGATATACTTTCCTCTTGATATATATTAATTGTCTGGCTTGTTCTGTGCAGCGAATCAAGGCCTAGCAACACTAGCTTTCTTTGGTGTTGGTGTGAACCTGGTTTTGTTTCTAATCAGAGTTCTTGATCAACAAAATGCCGCGGCGGCAAATAATGTCAGCAAGTGGACTGGAACCGTTTATTTGTTCTCTCTTGTTGGAGCATTCCTCAGTGACTCCTATTGGGGTCGTTTCTTAACCTGCGCAATCTTTCAGCTCATCCTTGTGCTGGTAATATTTCTTTTTTGGTGTTGCCAACATATTTTTTAATGTTTGTATTTGGTTTTCGAAACATTGGTGTAAAAACTTAATGTTCCTCAATCAGGGCTTGGGGCTATTATCACTGTCATCTTGGCTCTACCTGATCCATCCGTCTGGTTGTGGCGATGGAGTAACTCCTTGCAAGCCAAAATCCACAGCGGGTGTTGTTATCTTTTACCTATCAATATATCTAATAGCACTTGGATATGGTGGGCACCAACCTACTATAGCAACATTTGGAGCAGACCAATTTGATGAGACAAATCCCAAACAACAGTCTTCAAAAGCAGCTTTCTTCTGCTATTTCTACTTTGCACTCAATGTTGGGTCTCTTTTCTCCAACAGCATCTTGGTTTATTACGAGGACAAAGGGTTCTGGACTATGGGGTTTCTGGTGTCATTAGGATCTGCTATCGTTGGTCTGGTGTCGTATTTGTTAGCAGCACCAAGGTACCGGTACATAAAACCGAGTGGCAACCCTTTGCCACGTGTAGCTCAGGTATTTGTGGCTGCATTTAGAAAATGGAAGGTTGTTCCAGCCAGCCCTGAGAATCTGTATGAGGTGGAAGGATCAGAATCTGCAATCAAAGGGAGTAGAAAGATTCTCCACAGTAAAGAGATTGTGTATGTAATATTGCACTTCATTAATTTTGATACAAACAAAATAATAATTAGCTTTTTAGTATGGCAATGAACTTTTTTTGTTACTTAATTTGGTCAGGTTTTTGGACAAGGCAGCAACAATAACAGAGATGGATCGAAGTGGCCCCAATAATCCATGGAGGGTATGCACTGTAACTCAAGTTGAGGAAGCCAAATGCGTTCTGAAAATGCTCCCCATTTGGCTTTGCACCATAATTTACTCAGTGGTGTTCACACAAATGGCTTCCCTTTTTGTGGAGCAAGGTGATGTGATGGAATCACACATTGGAAATTTTCACTTCCCAGCTGCTAGCATGTCTCTTTTCGACATATTCAGTGTTCTTATCTGCACCGGGATTTATCGCCAAATCGTTGTGCCTGTATCTGGAAGATTAAGTGGGAATCCAAAAGGCTTATCCGAGCTTCAAAGAATGGGAATAGGGCTCATTATTGGCTTGCTATCAATGGTTGCAGCTGGTGCCACAGAGGTGGCAAGGCTCAAACATGTGCAGCCTGGTCAGAAGGTAAGCTCACTTAGCATATTTTGGCAAATTCCACAATATGTCCTTGTTGGTACTTCAGAAATTTTTATGTATGTTGGTCAACTTGAGTTCTTCAATGGACAAGCCCCAGATGGAATCAAAAGCCTTGGAAGTTCACTCTGCATGGCCTCCATATCTCTTGGTAATTATGTTAGCAGCTTGCTGGTTACCATCGTGATGATGATTACAGCTAGAGGTGAAAACCCTGGTTGGATCCCAAATAATCTGAATGAGGGTCACCTGGACAGATTCTACTTCCTAATTGCAATTCTAACAGCTTTGGACTTTGTAGTTTATGTGTTTTGCGCTAAGAGGTACAAGGGCATTAACCTCCAAGAGCCTGAGCAGGAAATGGAGAGCATTGAAGCTCCACAAGAGGAGGTGGGGATCAACAGAGTTTAGGCCTTTAATTTTATGTTTCTTTGTAGGCAGTCTTTCCCTTTGTTTTTAAATTTTTTATTATTTTTTTTATTTTAATGTAAGCATGAGTTTTAGAATAATGGCAGTGCAAGAAAAGAAGAGAGGATGACCTCTGCTTTCACTCAAATGCCTTTCTGGGTATGTTCTGATATGACTGGAAAACAACTTGATTCATCTTTCTGAATGGTTTCTTTCTTGGTATGTTCTTCTGTTAATGATTACCTGTGACATGATTGGATTGGAAAACAACTTGGTTTATCTTTCAGAATGGTTAAAGCCCAACTCAAACAACTGATCATCCACTACCTAAATCTTTTTATAAGCCCAAAGAGGTCCTTCTCTTGTTGGCCTTGTAAATGCAAGTGATGTTGGGTACTTAGAATTTCGAATGCAGAAATAAATACACTTAATCCCTTGGGCTACAAACTCCTGTTGCGATGATCCTATTTATTATCACAAATGGACACTTCATGCACAAGCTGAAAGCAACAACAACTTGAAAAATTGTTGGCAAAATTGAAAACGAATCAGTGGGTAGGTAGGTTAGGTGGGTGTCCCTATGAGCAAAAGCTTTGTTGCGTATGGTGCTGGCATGCATGGAGTCTCACTATCTAGAGTCTAGAGACCTAATAAGATCAAAAGCATGCAATGCATAATAGTGTAACCCACCTTTGCTTTGGGTCCTTCAATTCGTCACTTTCGCATAAATCGTGTGGATTTTTCACATGAAAAACTGTTTGTTAGTCCACCTTTGAGATTTTGGATGTAAGATTTTTCACATTTTGTATCGTCACTAAGCTTTATCGTCATGCCTGCAAAAGATGTTTAATCATTATTTTAGTAGCATTTAATGATGTCATGTTGTTGCCAAAGATAAAGATATGGAGAAAAAAAATCATGTGCACGAATTGGATGATTCTTTTATGCCATTTTATACGCCCATAAACATAATGAATTGCCTATGCCTTATCTTTTATGGAGTGTGAAGGTAATGGCAGATGTATCTGTCCAATAAATTCAGTGATATGATAACCCCATTGTACTATATGAATAACCTTAACTATTTGTTGACACATATTGGAATTAACTTGGATATCTTGAGTTTTAAAATGATTTTAATTTCTGACTTGTCTTGTGGGAGTGGAGAGAGGAAATGTATATGCAATTTAAACTATCGCTTGTATTTAAAAATAAAAAATAAAAAATCTTTAGAGGTGGCCATGGGTTGGGTTGGGTCAATTTTGGTCATAATTCGTAACTCAACCTGATATAACGGTTTATGATTTTTTGGATCCAAGACTCGCTCATTATTAGGCCAACCTGACCATCTAATGATCGAGTTGAGTAGTTGGGCTATTGAGTAGTTAAGTTAAGTTGACCCGAAATTGTGCTCACCCCTATTCTAAACCTTTTCCCTTTTGAGTCCAAGTTTTATTATAATAAAGACTAATATAAAAAAAACTTTATAAAGTTGGTTTATTTAGATAAAATAAAATAAAAGAAATAGAAGGCACTTGTACGAAAAATTATGTGCCTTTAGATGTGGCATCAAGATTTAGTCGCATCACATTCAATGGCCAAAAATTAGCTGCAACATTTGTAGGTCCAAAAATATGGAGACGCAAATTTGTGTTTGTATACATACATCCTTCTCTAATTCATCTATCCCTTGGTTCCAAAACTTAGATTATTTAATTTGAATTCGAAAGTACTAGCTATGAGTCTCCAAATATTTATTTGTAGAACTTAAATTCTAGGTGTTTCCCTTACAAAAATGAAATAACATATGAAGCTTTTTCTCTTGGGTGTACAATGGGGGCCAAGGAGCCAAAAAGAAAGCAAAACTCACCCCTTATATTTGAAAGACAACTCAGAGATTGTGATGTAATGAGCCCCATTCTAAAATCCAATACCACCATTGTTTTCATGTTTGCTCCAAAATCCAAAAACAAAGTCCAATTCATGGAAAGAAGAAGAAAAAGAGTGACGGAGGAGAAGGTGGAGAACCACCACTTATTAGTGCATGAGTGGAATGGATCAATGGGTATGGATGAGTGGGAGACAGCTTATCTGCTGATAAGATGGTTTGAATAAGACCTATATTTCTCATATATGGTTTGATTTGATAAGTCATTCACATACACAGTGTAATATGGCCCGGTATCCTTATCAAAATATTCTATTTGATTTTTCCTTTAGGACTGAAATCAGGTTCTCCTTATATTAATCTTCATAAGCATCTCTGCATATGCATTTTTTTATATATACCAAATATTTAAAGTATATAAGTATAGTTCATGAATACGTACGTATATAATACATGGATGACGTATGCGTATATTTGTAGAGATATATACATGCCCACTTGCCATTTCCACTTCTGAATTAGTACTGATATAAACAAGTGAAACATACAATTAAATATGAGAGAGAGAGAGAGAGAGAGAGAGAGAGAGAGAGAGAGAGAGAATTTGACTTCTATATATGTAGCAAGCAACAATGAAATTTCACATTTGTTCATGATGAAAAATTACATTCCAAACTGGTGCTTTGACAGCCTAAAAGGATCAAAACTAAGATTCAGGAGATTAAGGATTTAAGAAAAGAAAAATAATCTCCTAGACAGTTAATTAATATTAACACCAAAGAGCCTAAATCCTTTTTGGTCAGCCATGGATGCCTTGTGATCTTCACTATACTTACATTCACCTTGCTGAAACTTGTAGCTGCTACTTTCCCCCAAATTCAGTTCCAATTTGATCTGCAAATCCTCACACTCATGCTTATTGATCTCCTCCTCAAGCAAACATGATCTCTTGCTTTCACCCTCACTATGCATCACATCAATTAACCAAAATGTAGCACTTTCTCTGTCTTCCTCTCTCAATTGATCATCATTCTCACATGTATAAAATGTGATCACATCATTTGCCTTCAAATTGTTTTCCTTCACAAACCTATTCCAACCCCTTGTGAACACAAAGCTTTGGCTACTCTTCCAATAGCAATACCTGAACTTCCACACCCTCATGAGCTTGTCATAGAAAACCAGCTCAATGTCATCAACCCCATTTTCTTCCACATTCTCACAAATACAAGGGAAATACTCAACAGCATATTTCTTGGGAATTACAAGCCTATTGAGCTTGCCCACATCACTTGGTGTCAATTCTTTTTGGAAGAGTTGCCTAGACAATATTTTCCCATCACCATGCACCCTAATTGAGTTGTTACCCTTGCCCATTTCCTTAGTTTGTGATTGTTTTTGTGACCTTATAAATGCATCAAATTTGGATGGATAGGAACCATCCCTAATCATTTTTATTATTGCATCTGTTGTGTAATGGTTTTGAAAATCAGGCTCTTGAATGGTGAAATTGGTCCATGGAAAATTTCTATGCAAATCTTTACCATTTCGAAGCTTGACTGCCGCGCTATCGTAAGCCATGGCAGCTTCCTTCTCGGACTTGAAGGTGCCAAGCCAAATTCTTTGGTGGTTTGCATATATTTGTGCACCCCAGTGACCATTTTGTTGTGGCACAACCCCTTTAAATTTTGCAAATGAGACATCATTGTCAAGTCTCGCACGCTTATTTGGATGAAGCAGTCCAAAATCGTTGTCGTTTGAATCAGAAGTTTCGAGAGCTACATTTCTGTGGACGCTTGAAATCATGCTTGATGCAGCATCTTCTTCCATTGTGAATCTCAAGGGCAAAGACAAGCACAATATTGGCATGGAGATGTGAAGACTAATTGAACAACTGATGCTAAAAAAATGCAAGGCGATCCTCATGATGGGGTTTCAAGAAAAGCATGATGAGAAAAGGTTTTAGTTTTAGCATTGCACAGATCATAATATTGGTTTTGAGAGAGAGAGAGAGAGATTGATCTGCAATCAGAGATGTGCATGATGCTGTATGAACATGGGTGGGTTTTTATTTGAAAGGCTGAGAGTTGAAAATATTAAACTGAATTAGGTTAAGTAAACAACAAATTATTAAGCACCATATAATTCTAGAAAGAAGTAACAAAATTTTCCAAGTGAAAAATCAAGTCAAATATATTTGAACAAATTTGAAGCGGCCGGATTTATCTTAATTTAGGCAAATTAATTAGGTGTCACATTCTGAAACTAAATAACCCATTTTGTTTATAGCATATAGTTGACTACAAGTTACAAGTACGTACGTAGGTGTTTCGATTCTTATTATGGGCTGGCGAGGCGTTATCTACATCAGAGATGTCTTAACATTCAATCAGTCACTAGAAGTTTCTGATGTGTCACAATTTATGGGCCAATTATAGAGGAAACTGATATGTCAGATACTGTTCATATGTACAGATTGGCTCTTATAAAACAAACACGCAAGCAAATGCAAGATTTTTGTTCCACTTTGGATACATACAAGTTATTTTTTATTAAAAAAAATCAGAGAATTTCCCAATTATGTTAAAGGGCTTGACGTTGAGTGTTACGTGGTATTATTAATCCACATGTTAAAATATCGGTAGACAACAAAGTTGATATTACTTGGACTTTGTTAGTAAAACCATGCCGCCGAAAAATAAGTACGTTATAATCACATAATATTGGTAACTCTGAGTGACGGTATGACTGTTACATTGAAAATTTCTCCATTTTCGTTAATAAAACTGCAATAGGAATATGACACGTGACACACATAATTTTCGTTATGTAGATAATAAAGATAAACAACTTAAAATTAGGGAGCATTGAGCTATAACCTGGTCTAAGTAAGCCTCGTGCAAAATAAAGAAACCATTTCTTAGCTCACTATAACTAACTTTTACCTTTATGAGGATACATAGACAAGATTTATTCCAAGACATTAATTTACAAATAAACGACAATAATTAAGTTGACATGAACTGAAATATCCTAACGATTGTAACTACAAAATAAGAGATAGAACCATTGGTTAGGTTCTAATTCTGTCTGGACTATATGGTTTAAGAAAATGGAAAGAGTAAGGTACATCCATAGTCCAACCTAGGACCTAACCCTCCCAATGCCACTTCATTCTTGGTAGTTGTTATACCTTTCAGGAGCTTCTTAATTAACAAATCTAATCAACCTTTAAAAAAAATATAATATAATTAGGAACCTATATCCGTACGTATTACTATACTAGCAGCCAATACGTACAGTTGTACAGGTTGAAAAAGCATTGGAGCTTTATCCGAATAAAAATTCATATATTAGAAGCTTGTAATTTAAACTATCGCTTTTATTAAAAAAAATTATATAAATAAG